TGAGCGCAACCCGAAAAGAAGGAGTTCCTGTGTGAGAGCGCAGTGACATATATATATTATAACATATATAATTGTATTTATACTAATTCCTGTTCTTCATTCGACACACAAAACAATGTAAACTCGTCAAAGATAGGGCATACTTTTCCGTTCTCAAGTTCTTCAGGGTCTTGACCCTTGTTTGGAAAGTGCTTGTGTGGTCAGTCAAGTTTCTTGAGGGGAGCTTGAATTACTGTATGAGACTTGCCTTGAAGCTTGAATTGACGCCCTGCAAACATCAGTATCAGGGACAATGCCATCAGGTGTTGTAGGAAAAATCCCAACGAGAACTACAACGAAGGCACGATCAGCCAACTTCAAGTCTTCCCCGCACAGAACTATCTTTCAACAATTTCACCGGGGCTTTTGAGCGCTTCACCTTCTGTGCCTCTTTTGCGCGCCTCCTGTTTGCTTCACCTGTTTCCAGACTGAACCGCCTACCAGCTCCCACCATTCTTCAACCCAAGTGTGGCAGAACGCCTCATTTCCAGGCCTTTGTGGCGAATAAAGCATCGCGTGCAAGAGTAGTATGGCGATGAGTAATGTGATGTTGACCCCCACATCACCTGTTTATACATAATGTATTCTGAGTTTTGAGAAGCTCGCATTCAGCAGCCCTGACCACCTCCAAAGACTCGATGACTAGGTCGCAGGCCGTGGCATGCCTGCAGCGCACCTTGGATCAATGGAGACGATGAGCCCACGTATTTCTGGATCATTGCCACCACATAGTGTTTCTTTTTCTGCTGAGATCATTCTTCAAGTTCTTGATTTCAGTTCAAGGCTTTATGATAGATAAAGTCCCGCCCTGGAAGAACGACATCCATGTTCACGCCTCCCCCAGTTCGATTCGTCTTTGGTATTTCAGCGGAGAATGGTGAAGCCTGTGTGTCCAAACCAATGGGGATCACTTGAGTCGCCGTTTTAGGCCATTAAGCTCAGCCCCAGCAGGGCTTTCAGGCCCGGTGCGTGGTGTTGGTGGCCGGGGCCTCGAAGACATCACGGGCTGGGCGCAGTCGAGTGAAGTGGGATGTCTTTATTGTTTGCAAAGCCCTAGGTGGATGCTTTTGGGCACCAAAGGAGTTGCTTGGGATACAAAAGGTAAGATAAGCTATGGGGACTTTGCGGTCTCTGCATTCAATCTCGCTTGATTGGTTTAACCACAACTGTCAACAATTCGCAACCTCCTGGTAGACCAACCATCAAGAAATTCAAGACTGAGGAAGCAGAGTCCTCTGCAAAACTCTTTGATTCGATGATAGTGCGTTGTGACTGGTGATGGACCTTACCGAGGCCCTGCAGCCATCCAGATGCAGCCCAAGGCTCCGGCTGCTCTGGGCGGTGCGCCGTTGGGGTGCTCAGTTCAGACGAAGGTGTCCGTTGGGCCGTTGGGTGCAAGCCAGAGGTCTTCAAAACGGTCCTTCCGGAAGTTTGAAAGGGTCTGGGGGTGATTCTTTTTGTTGGAATCCTGGAGGTTCTAGGAGTGTTGGGTCTTTGAATCGTTTTGATGCACTTGTTGGTGTTTCTATTTTTTTTCTTCTAAATGCAACTCTGGGTCCTCAGTCTGTGTGATTCTTACCTCTCCTTAGGATATGATGTGAATGTCGAATGCCCGTGTCTATACAGGTGCCTCGCAGCCGCATCGATTCATATCCATCGGTAGGCACAGCTCCCTCATCACCACTAAAGACTCCAGCATGTCGTCTTCCTTTGGAGAGCTGACCGATGTGGATGCGAACGAGAGCCATGCGGCCAACATCAAAGTTCAGGCCTGCAGCTTAGTAAGCCAGCCAGCGAATGTGCAGGAAGTGTCAGCAGGGCTGACAGCCAACAGGAGTGAGATGGGCAATTCAGGAGTTCCAGCAAACTCCTCGGATTGGTCCAACTCCTATCAGCCGCAACCAATGTATGGCCTTCCCGTGGCGGCGATCCTGATCATTGCTGCGACCTGGATGAAGTTGTATGAAAGTCCACAGTCTATGTGAATGTATGATATTTGTAGAATGGTCCACGAGATTTGTTCTTCCTAACTTGGCATCGTCATTTTCAACAGGATCTTCTTTCAATACCACTTGGCTTTGAATGCAATAACTATATCATACCACACTTTCCAGCGACAAGCTTGTATGGAAGCCCAAAGCTCAGAGCTTTTTTCAAAACATTCAACTGTGAGGAGGCGCCGCCCCCGCCCCCACCTGTTGGCATCTACGCCCCACGTGACTGGATCTACAACAAGCGAGATCGTGTCCAGGGCATGTATCCAGAAGAATGGCCGATCATGAAGAAGGGCGAGTGGATATCCCTCAAGCCCCTTGCTCTGTATTTGATCGCTGAAGTTCGCTTGGTCGCTGCGACTAGACAAACCTCCGTCACACAAAAAGGCACATGGGAGTCCAAGACATGTTCAACGGAATCCTCAATGTTGCTCACCCATTGATGACCCTGGCAGAGTTTTCCCTTTTCTCACTGTGAGTCGCCTCGAATGCCCTTAGGCGCTCTCTCTCTCTCTCTCAGTCAGATCCTGACCTCATCCAACAACAAATTAACCACTGGAGGTGCTTTGACGCCGGGCAGCCTTCAAACGTGTTTTGGCCGTACAACCATTCACAAGTCATTCAATCCAACCTGCGAACTTCCCACTCCCTTGTCTCAGGTACGCCTTCATGGGGAACAAGCAGGGACCACTGTCTTGTGCGGAATGTGCAAAGGCAGATGGATTTTGCTCAAAGGATCAAAAGCACGCAAATGAGTTCTTGTGCCTGACATGTGAGATCCTCAACTCTGCCACATTCGCACTTTCTTTTTTCCCCCGGTTTGAGTTGCACTTTGGCACTTTGGGGTGAAATCAAACAACAATGTGGATATGAGTTTTGGCCACAGAAAAGACACATCTCTGTTGCGGACAGGAGTATTTTGTGCTGTTTCCTCCAAGATTAGGCGACATCCATGTGGCTTTGGAAGCACGTGCTCTCGCTCAAACCTTGCTTGCCGGTTTTGTCACGCTCAGTCTACTGGGCAGTGTTTCCTCAATGAGAAGGACATCAAGAAGTACAAGTTCATTCTCTGAGCGATCCTGACCGCTCTTGAAAGAACAGCTAATTCGCTGGCTGTAGGCCTGGCTGAACGCGGGGTGGAGTCTGGTTAGTTTGGGGATTATAGGTTGAATTGGCGCAAACGACACAATCGAACTGGCTAAGTGATATTGTAAGTCTATTTTTTACAAGGCACGCTGGAATTGGGCTCCCCCTGACGTGGGCTCATGACTTCACTGTGAGTCATGCTGCCGCTGTTTCATTGAAAAAGTTATGAAACCTAGCACGGGATGTGATCCCACATGTTTAAGTATCTTCCATGTGCAAGGTTTGTTTAGAACGCACCCTGCCGTCACAAAGCACGCGGGCAAGTGCAGGTTGTCGTCCGCCAGCCGCCTGCAGAGTCCATTTGATCTTTTTTTAACTTGGAGGATTTGGAGGGAACAAACTTCTCGAAACAGAGCAAGCTAAGTAAAGCTCAAGTGGATTCTTGAAAGGCGGCGACTGATCTTTACACTTTACAGTCTAACTAGTGAATTATCGCAGACAGAGGCGAAAATCAAAGTGCGCGAGGCATTGCACCGTACTCTCAAATGTTGAAGTCGTGGCGACATTCAATGTTTGCAGCGTTTACTTGGGGATTTGAATCTATGGAAGTTGTGGCGATGTTGCGCTTAGTTGGGGAGAAGACAAGGCAGCAGCGGCAAACAAAACGACGATCAAGCGAAACGCCGATCGCACAGGCAAACGAGTGGGGAGGCAGGTGGGGGAACAAGGAAGGAGACAAGGCAGCAGCGGCAGACAAAACGCCGATCACAGCAGACAAGCGGGGAGACAAGAAAGAAGGAAGTAAAGAAAGAAAGAAAGAAGGACAGGGGCGAGAGCATATACATGATGAGGTAACTAGAGGTTTTCATTCTGAGGGCCTTCCTTGGTGGCACGGGTTCTGACCTCGTTCACCCTCTCGTTCATCCTCGTTCCGATGCCTCTCTGCAACTTGTGTGACTCAAGTGAAGTGTCCAGAGCCTGGTCCAAAGAGATGTCAGGGGACCACAAGGAGATTAACATCATGTCATTGCTAAATCATTGCGTTTCCATGCCAGAAGCTTGGTGTGAATACATGAAAATTGTGCTTCGGATGGGACTTCAGAACACATCAAAAACATTGCCAAATCATCGCGTTTACATGCGGGAACCTCGTTTTTGCACAACATGGCAAAATGACATTTCTAAATGATTGCGTTTACATGCGGGAACATTGTTTTGAATACATGAGAACTGTGCTGGGGAGAACACACCAAAAGCATTCACAAATCATCGCGTTTACATGCGGGAACAGCGGTTTTGCAAGGACTATGCCGGGACCCCCCTCTTGGCGTCGCGTCTACATTGGGGAACACAAGTTTCTTCCTGGTATGACGTGACTTCCGCGTCCGAGTGTAATTGATCTTCACACTGTTTAATTCTTAAAGTAGCAGTGGTTTTACTTGATGGCACTGCGTCAGCCGGGAGCAAGGCCTTGACAGTTTACTGTCATGACTGATGTTTGTATATATATATATATTCATATTAAATATGTGTAGATCATGTGCGTACCATGTATGTATGTAATGTAATGTCATGTAATGCAATGCGATGCAATGCAATGCAATGTAATGTAATGTAATGTAATCATGAATTGAAATGGTATAAATATATACACAGTGTAATTTCATGTCATGTCATGTAATGTAATTACACTATGATGTGCACACACACACATACGTGCACGTGCACTGACAGTGCGCGCAGCGTTCTGGCTTTCTGGGTGATATCCTCGCAGAGGCCCATTTGGAGGGCTTCAGAACAGACATGATGCACCGTGTCTCCAAATAACTACCGTACACGAAGCCGACGCAGGTTTTCTTGAAACGCCAATTCAATTCTGATGACGGACATGTACGCAATCTCCAAGTCGACTTTTTCTCTCGTTTCTCCGACAAGTCCGCCTGAGGCCTGGCATGCCCCCAGGTTTCCCTGCAAGGCCTCCAGGAATGCCGTCAGGGGCCAAACTTGATTGAAGATGGGGCAACTTCTTATGGATGGTCTTGTGTGTTCGTTACGGAAATTTGAAGTGGCTTTAGTGGTGGATGTTGCCACTGCCTTGTTTGTTGCATCCTGGATTTCTTATTTCAACAGCACATAGCATTTGCGACAGGTTTGGTTGTTCTTTGTTGCTGTTGATGACTGTCCCGCCGACCAAGGGGCATGGTGCCTCCTGGGATGCCTGGAATGCCGCCTGGCATGCCTCCGCCAGGAATGCCAGGCCATTGAGGGAAGCCGGGGAAGATCATGCTGGCCAGAACAAAATGTAGCTCTGGAAGTTAAGAGTTTTCTCCGTGCATGTCTTCAAACCTCTAGAAGTACAGTACGTGTTGCTGCTATCATCCACAACGAAGTAAAGACAGATGCTGCCAGGTGCTGGGTTCAGCAGATGCACAACTCAGAACTCAATCCACCACTATTGACTTTCAGTAGTAGTGTCCTTGAAAACCATCTCGTGAGTCTTAAACACAGGGCCCATTGGAGACGGTGATTCTTCATTGAACTCAAGGGACTTGTGCCTTTATTTTGTTCCAGATGTCTCCTGGGCTTCAGGCGCACTGTGTGCGACACGCAAACCCATTCAAACATCCTCTAGATCATGTGGTGGAGGATCTCTCTTCCTTGAACCGCATGGGATGTCCACCTGGGGTGGCTGGGTGAGCGGGCTGGGTGGGTGGGTGGGTGTGATCCTATCCTTCGGTTGCGTTGAACGCGCGAATGGATGCGGACCTTTTCCGCTTCTTGACAAAAAAGGGCTCCGACGGCTCCTTTGGTCTCAAACCACCTTGGTACACTTCTCGGTTTCAGTGCACCCTTCCCTATCGAAAACATGGTACACTTCTTGACTTTGTGCACCTAGCCTAGCTTCAAACTTGGTACACTTCTCTTTTGTGCACCGGCACTCCCCCTCAGCCAAATGGCTGATTTAGGTGCCACAAAATTCCCCGCTCACCGGCGCGGCAGCGCTCAAGCCCTTTCTTCATGGAGTCCTGAAGAGGGAATATCCCCACCACGTGTCCAGGTGGATTCCCCTCCTTCCATTTCGCTCATCGACCAGGATGGTCTTTCGCTTTCCGATCACCGGCCAAGCCACCGTCATCCTCCATCGTCCCCACTCTTCTTCCAGGAGGACCTTGGCTTCGAAGTCATAGAGCTTCTTACGGGGCTGATGATGCGCTCTGATGGCAATCTTCCTTCCCCCGTCGTGGTCAATCAAGTACTCCCACGAATCCTTTGCCGATGTCCTCGGCGGCGGTGTGGAGATCACCTTGAGGACCGCCTCGTTGATGAACCCCTTCAGATAGTCCCACATCTCTTCTTCATGGCACCACTTCCCCAGCACCACCCCCTCATCGACCGTGGTGATCAGCCGCAAAGGTTCCACCCTGGGTAGTGTGCTTTCCGGGCGCTCCCTCGGCCTATCTGAGTCTCCTGAAGGTTGACCACCGCCTCCGGTCGCTCCATGTTCGTCTCGATGGCCACCGTCTCCTCCGCTACCTCGAGCACCGGAGTCCGAGGCTTGCCCGGATCCCAACCCGTCGCCTGGGTCGTGGGAGATGAAGTGCAGGCCCTCGGAGTCCATCATCACCCAGGTTCCCCCGTAGTTCCTCCTCGGTCCTCTCCGGGTCATATAGCGATCCCAAGCGCTCATCGGCAGGCCCAAGTTCGCCCTTCGTCGTTCCTCCGCCTCCGCGTCATAGGCTCCACGGCGCCAAAGTTCAGACTCGTGTACTCGTCGAAGGCCGGAGTCTCCTTGGCGTCCGGGATGTAGTTCTTCACCCTCAATCTCTTCCGTCTGGGCGCCGGCTTCATTGGCAGTCTCATGGGTCTGACCCCCAACTCGAAGGGCTCGGATTGAAATCCGGTCAACTGGATTCCCCTGTCGTTGGTAGAGTGGGTCGTCCGGCTCTGCCTTCTTCATGTCCAGAGTAACCGAAGCCTCGGGATCCTCGAGCAGTCTCCGTTAGGTTCTCAACACTCCTGGCTCCCACCTCCATAATCTTCTCGATGACCAGCTGGGCCACTCGGTCCCCCTTGTAGATGTAGAGGTCCTCGTCGCTCCAATTCCGAAGCAGCACTTTAACTTCACCTCGGAAGTCCCTGTCGATGACTCCTGCTCCAGTTTCAATCCCTCGGATGGCCAAACTGGACCTTGGTGCCACCCTACCATAGGTTCCAGGAGGGAGTTCGATCGCCAGACCCGTCTTGACCAGAACGCTGTCTCCTGGAGGGACCATCGTCTCGATGACTGATGTCAGGTCCAGTCCAGCCGCTTGGTCAGAGCCTCTGGATGGCATACGTGACCTTGAGCTCCTCCCTGGGCATCATCCATCTCTTGACTCCGGCCGTTCCCGCCCGAAACACGATGTCCCCGATGACCGCAATGGCCGCAGTGATCAGGACCAAGATCCACCACTCGCTGCTTCCACTATCACCCTTACCTTCAGCCGCCTCCACACAAGTGACCATGCTAGCAGCGGCTATCAGCAATCCCAGGCCTTTTCCCAAGCGAGGATCTGGGCTCCCACCCGTCGCATCCACTTTCTTGACCTCGATCTTCTTGATCTCCTCAACCGCCTCGATCTCAAGGGTCTTCTTGAAGTTCTGGAGTGCCTGACCCGTGAGCTGTTTCGTCATCCCATCTGCGACCAGCTGAGTTCCGGCCACGTGCTCCAGAGAGATCTCCCTCGATCTCAATGCCTCTGTCGGCCCCGCAGCTCGGATCCTCAAACGCCTCGTCCTCCAAGACGACGTAGTTCCCGCTGCAATGGCTATGGCTGCAGTGGAGTCGGAGTGCAACCTCAGCTGGACCTTCTCTCCCAGCACCGCCTCCACCAGTGCTCCTGCCGACCTGGCGTTGATGAGGCTCTCCAGCACGGACATGAGCTCCGCCTCGGCCGTGGACAGTGTCACAAAGGCCTGTCGTGTGGTGCGCCACGCGATGGGAGTGCCACCGACGCTAACAACGATGCCCGTCAAGCTCTTCAGGTTCGACGAGGCGTAGGAGGCATCTGAGAACACCTCCCTGGGTCAAATCCTTCGCCTCGGACTTCTTCTCCTCTTCGACCGTCGTGCCTCTTATGACCAGCCCTTCATCCCTGGTCTGTCTCAAGTAGGCCCTGACCTGCTTGCCGATGTCCATCACCGCCCTTGGCCTCTTCGCTGCCCATTGACGCATCAGGCTCACTGCCAAACAGATGTCAGGTCGGGTTCTCCTGGCTACCCAAAGAAGTTCTCCCGTCTCCTTCTGAGCCTGAGTGACCTCCGACAATCGAGGATTCTCCTCTTCCTCAGGGGTCTTGATCTGACCCATCGTAGAGGATCACCTTCTCCGTGCCAGCGATGATGATGTCGTCGACATAGGTGGCACATAGTCCCATCATCTCCCAACCAGTATCTACTCCTCGACGGCCACGAATCACCCACACATCCTCCTGGGCCGTCTTCTCGACCATATAGTGGACACCGCCTTCCTCCCACTTGAACTCCCGGATGCAGCGGTCTCATGCGGTCTCTGTGTAGAAGTCCTTAGGGGACGTAACCAGCCCATAGAGCGCCTTACGGACCAACCACAGTTCGTCTGGATGTCGAAGGACTTGGGCATCTCGGAACACACGAGGCGGTTCGACGATCACCACTGAGTCATCCACGGGGGCATTCAAAAAAGCGGTTTTCACATCCACCGTAGAGATGCTCCAGCCTCGGGTGGGAGCTATACCTTCAGGAGCAGTCGACCTTCAGGGCCTCCCGCACCAGAAGCGAAGGTGCTTTCCTCGCTGGGAGTCTTCTTCATGTAGTTCCCGCAGGCCACCGCTCTGCACTTGTGCCTGCCTGAACCCGCCTTGCGGCTGAAGACCCCTTTCGCTGGCAGCAGGTCGAAGGTTCTGCCCGATTTGACTGCCTCCTCCTTTCTCTGTCATCTGCTCTCGGCTGATCGGTTCTACAGCCTCCGACTCAACCACCAAGGCTCCGTACTCCTCCGAACCTCCGCCAGACCCACCATCCGAGTTTGGAGGAACTCTGAAGCCTCTTCTGCCTTCTCCTTGGCTTCAACAGCCGCCTGACCGATCTCCTCGACCTCCGTGGTGAGAGCCTTCAAGAACCGTTCATTGATGATCTTTCCCGAGTCCTCTTCGAGCAGCTTCAACTCTTGAGACAGCATCTGCGCCCCTCGACGGTGTAGCTCCCCCCAGTCCACGACCTCAGACTCGGTCTCTACCTGCAGGAGCTTAACCTTCCCTCGAGTTCGACCCGGTCTCTTCCTCGGCTGCGGGTTCTCCTCTCGGTCCTCCACCTCGTGGATCAGTCCTGCCTCTCTCTCTGGGAGCTCAATCCCCTCTAGTTGCTCACCGACCTGGATGATGTCGCCGGTGTGGAACAGCTTCCCGGTGGAGAGCTCCTGCACGAAGTACCCCGGAGTAGTCATTGACATCGTGACTGCCGGGCATAGGACTCTCACCTGTGTCCTTGTAGTCGACAAGTACTTCTGCTGGTCGCTGTAGAGCTTTCTCTTCGCCCAGACGACCTGTCTGAAAGGCAGTGCCTTGAAGCATGACGCCAATAGCTTTCATCAATTCGTGCACCTCGTTTGAGCTGTGCCACCGCTCCCTCTGCGGAAGTTGTCGCCGTCGGTGAACGTGCGACATAGTCCTCTGTCGTGGACCCACCGGTCGAACATCTTGCTCTGATACTCGCCTGCGCGATCAGAGTGAAGCCGTTTGAGCGGGAGACCGAGGAAGTTCAGCTTCGCCGCCATCCTCCCCACTGCTTCCAAGACAGCTGCTGCTCCACTGTTCTCCAGGACCTCCGCGAATGTCACCTGCTTGACCTGGAATTCCTGTTCCTGCTCGATCTTCGAGAGCCACTCCTTCTCATCGTCCAAACCTGGCCATCGTTCTTCTCCTCCATGATCATCCCCCTCTTCGGCCACCATTGTGAGCTCCGGTCCATCTCCCTCGGCGCCAAGTAGCTCGTCCTCTTCATGGATCGGGATCAAGGACTGGCCCTCCTTGGTCACTGGGACAAGGTAGACACCCACAAGCAGATACCAGCCTTTCCCGAGTTGATCGTCTGCCAGCTCGAACGGTCCAGCGGTGTCGATGGACAGCGTATAGGCGTCCGGATGTGGAATCCGTTTGTGAGCCCTACCGCGTGATGCGGCGACAACACAGGACTTGCAGTCTCTGCTAGATGCCCGTTCAGGAGTCGCTCGGGGCCGAAGGGCCATCTTTAAATCTTAAAGCCCATGCGGACCAATCTCGCCTCATGTTGGTGCCCAGCCTGGTTGGCTTTTTTGTCTGATGGCCCATAGGTCCCTGGTCGAAGCTCACCTCGAACATTCCCCACCTCTCTCGAAAGGCCTTCCACTCCGGCCAGCACCAGTAGGAGACATACCTCTGGACGCTCTTCTCTTCATCCCGAACGTACTCCTCAGGGTCCTCCGGCTGCTCAATCGCGAACAGGGTGGTCCTCGGCTTCCGGGCCTGAGCGGCTCGATGTTGAAGGTAGAGCTGCCTCAGATAAAGGACCGTGTCATCTTCCACCTGTTTCCGCAGGTATTTGTCCAACTGGGGCAGACCGAATCGATATGGTCCTTCACGCTCTCTCAGCGGTGGTGGACCTGGCTGTCGATATCGCAGCCTGCTCATCGTCCTGCATGGCGGCCCTCCAATCAGGGTGCTCAAGGTTCCGCCATCAGCGACGCCCAGCAAATAGGCGAAGATGTCGTCCCGGAGCAAGTTCATCGACGGGTCCAGCACAGTGTCGATGCACAGAACTGCCCTGCTCTCGGCTTCCAACTCCCTCTGCCAGAACTTCTTCGAGTCACCACTGAACAGATGCACGATCACCTCCTTGGCCCTTCTCTCATGCCTGTTCCAAGGCAGTGCTTCACCCGTCCAGCTCTTCTTCGGTAGGAGTCTCTCCAAAATGTGGTGCGGGACCTGTGCAAAGAGCTCCTTAAGCTCCTTCACCTGCCAGGCCTCATCCTTCTCCAGTTCCAAGCCCACATCCTCTCCTGCCAAATAGGCCAACCTGCCCGTCTCTCTCACCATGCTTCGTTCGATCTCCTGGATCAACTCCATGGCCAGGGTCTCACTGATCGTAGGGCACGAGTTCTCCACCTTGGTGTCCAGAACTATTCCAGCTGGATCTGTCAACTCGAACCTCGACTTCTCCCAGACTGCCTCGTAGCCCAGCGAGATGAGCGCCCCCCAATGGGACGATCACCTGTGCATCCTCCTGAGTCAGCAGCGTCCGTGTCCAAGGGAGGAGCCGAAGTACCGCTGTCCCGGCTGCCAACTCCACATTGACCTCCTGGGCCCTCAACCACTCTTCCTCGCTCGCTGCTCGTCGCAAGCAGTGAGTGGCTCCACCATCTAGGAGAGCCCTGCCCCCTTCCCTCACTTCCAAGCTGCTAAGTCGAATGGCCTTCGCTGAAGCCGAAGGTCGCAAGCTCTTCAAGAGGGTCGTGGCCTCACTCAAGAGATCTTTCATCTCCCCGGAAGTTCCAGCACCCTTGTCGCCCTCGTTGGAGTTGACCGGCTCACCTGTCTCGCTCCCCCCAACCTTCGGCACTGGATCCATAGTCTCCGGTTTCCCTGGTCCGGTGTTCCCCTTCTCCTTGATGGCCTTGACCACATTCTTCTCGGGAGAATCCTTCACCTTGGACTTGAGTGTCGGGCATTCCTTCTTGGAGTGACCAGTCGCAGAACAGCCAAAGCATCGACCCTTCTTTTCGATGCCCGACCAATCATGCTTGAACTTACAGTCTTGGCCCTTCCGGCAACCATCCTCCGTTCCCCAAAACCTGCATGCCTTCCCTTCTCGAGCTCCATCGAACTTCATCTTCCCAGCTCCCTTCTCCGGCTTCTCCTCCTGGACCGTGGACATTGCCTTGACCTTAGTGGTCGGCGGTGCTGGCTTGATCTCCTGCTGCGGCTGAAACTCGCTGATGGCCAGCGACTCTGCCTCAGCTGTCAACATGTCCGCGAAGTTCAGCGCGGATTCCAGCGTGGGGGTCACATCCACTCCCAAAGCCGCCCTGGTTGAAGAGGTCCGGAATGCCGCTTGGCTCGATGCGGGTAGAGTCCGGGGTCGCGATCTCGAGTTCTTGAGCTCGTCGAAGACTCCTCCTCCAGCCTCGCAGAAGTTCCACTGTCTCATTGAGACTCTGCGGAGATTTGGGCTCCACCAACTGGCGCATCAGCCTTGACCTCTCCGCCAATCCTCCTGGCTGGTACCTTCGCCCGATTTGCCAGCGGCGCTGCGTTCTCTGCTCCAGCCTGCTCCACACCGTGTTGCACTCCATCGGCACCTGGGTCTTGATGTGGAGTCTCTGCACCGGCTCAGCTCGCAACCGCTTTCTGCAAGACTTCCTCCCACCATTTCCATGAAGTGGCGCTCAATTCCATCATAGTTGGAGAGATGAGTTGAATCCAATCACCCAACACCAGAGAGCCCAGTTCGCCCTCTCTCAACTCCGGCAATGGTGGCAGTTCCACAGACCGTATGACCTCACCCCAGCCACCGTCTGATGCTCCAGTTCCCAACTGTCTCACCACCGACTGAGCAGCCTGTTCGAGAGGGGGTCCCGACCAGGTCCAAGCTCTCCAGGGGTTCCATAGTGGGGTGCCATACCCATCACGGGCGTCCGGTCCCACTCCTCTTCCTCCATGTCCTCCAGTCAGTCTGAAGTCCACCCAGCCAAGATTCTGGTACTGGAGGGGCTCCACGATCGGCTTCATGAAGTACTCCTGAATGTCGATGAGCTGGATCTTGTAGTCCATAGCGCTCACCTCCAGGAAATTCTGGAATCGCTCCAAGGGTCGCTGTGCCCACCTTCTTCTCAGCCTCCGGAGTGGTGGGTGGCGGACCTGCCAGCGGACTCGGCGGAGGGGTCGACGATGGAGGTCTCGGTCGATCCGTCCTTGAAACCCCGATCCTTCTCCTTGTTGGAGTCCTCAATCCTCTTCTTCAGGTCAGCCAGCTCCCTCTTGAGCATCGAATTCTGGGCCATCACGGCCTTCACCTCTTTGAGCTCCATGCCAACCGAGTCGTCGTTGGTCGTCTCCCCCATCGATGGTGCCGAACTCTGAGGCAAGGATGTAGGTCTCATCGCCCGGAGCATCGCCTCGTCCTTCATCGTCTGAGACCAGAAGGGATTTACCAGTGGAGCAACCGCCCCACCGAACCCTTTTCCATCCTTCTTCCGAGATTCCTCCCGCCTCTGCGGGCCATACGAAACCGGCTGCCCCACCGGCATCATCTCCCTCGAGGCAACCACCATCGTTCCCAGGTCACTGGGAACATCTTCCAAAGCCAAGGCGCCGCTCTCCTCCTTCGCGGACCCTTCCGGGGATTCGCCAGCCACCCACCGCTTCGCTCGCGCGGCGTGGCGGCCAACGACCAACTCGCTCGCGCAGCGAGGTTGGGTGGTCTTCCTACCCCAACAACGCTTTTGGGCTCATAACCCGCGAATGGATGCGGACCTTTTCCGCTTCTTGACAAAAAAGGGCTCCGACGGCTCCTTTGGTCTCAAACCACCTTGGTACACTTCTCGGTTTCAGTGCACCCTTCCCTATCGAAAACATGGTACACTTCTTGACTTTGTGCACCTAGCCTAGCTTCAAACTTGGTACACTTCTCTTTTGTGCACCGGCAGAACGCATCCAACTCTGAAATTGACCCCCCTGGAGCTCCACTCCGAATTTGATTTAAGGAGCACCCTAGTCATCCGGGAGCGAAAACCACGCACCTTCTCCTTTGACTGCCACAGTGAAAACAATGTTAAGACCCCTATCTCTGGCCTCTACTTTTGGCAGGCATGGGACGTGGCATGCCGCCGATGGGACGCGGTGCATGAGCGGTGCAGTTCCGCGGATCCCAGGTGAAATCTCACTTTCAATGGAATGTAGATGAGAGATGGATGATAAGAGACCATACCGTATACCATGTTGGAACCTATTATGAACGAATCATGAACGAAACGTAGCAAACTGGCAAACTACCCTGGAAAAAGAACGATACTGTATCATTTTTTGTTAGGTGACGGTGAATCATTTGCATTGTAGACCGTTCTTGGCAGGTGACGTGCTCATTGGTTGATTTTGTGGATGGGAAACTCACGCACTCAAGAACGATGTGAGGAGATAGAATGTGTTTTTTGGCCAGGCTTCCCTGCTGCTACAGCTCAAGACTTTCGGAAAAAGACTTCATCAAAGGGTTTGATCCAGAGTCCGTGCCCCGTTTGATTGAGAACCCCCTTGCACCTCCAAGCTGTTTTGACATGCTGATCACAAGCGGTTCTGCGAGGTGGCAGTAGTCAGTAGCGCCTTGAGGCGGCTTGACGAGAAGGGTATCAGCGAAGGAGAAAGAAAGCAGCAACAGACGTACCAGGAGCTGGAGTTCAGAGTAAATCGCACAACTCCTTAGACTAAGACCGCTTCAGATGGTACATCAATCCATCCGTCCGTCCGTCCGTCCGTATATACAATATATATATATAAGCCACTTGTGGAATTCATTCAAGTAGTTACAAAGAAACATGTACCAGAGCACCCAGCCATGAGTGTATCAGACTTGGGAGAAACGATAGGTTTGCCCAGCGTTGGAGGGCAAACGGCCAGAATAGGTCAAATAGGACTCCACTTGGCGCAAAGTGGAAAGGAAAGGGCTGTTTGAGGGTGGACAGCGGTGTTGTAGAATACCCATCTTCACTATCAAACCTTTAGAGGTGTACTGTATCAAGGATGCGTCCAAACAGGGTTTGAATGTCGTCAGCCTGCATGTGTTCATGTGTCATAAGGAAACACGGGGTACTCCCAATCAACGGATGTCCAAACACCTTTCTCTCTGCCAATCTTCAGACGCCAATATTTCTTTTTGGCAATCTTTTGCGGCGATCTGTGCACGCTGGACACCCCAGGTTTGTTGAAAATAGGATAGCATGAAACATGTTGCAGACAGACAGCCTGGAGGTAAGTGATGCACATCACTTGAGACCAAGCAGCATGTATCGCCCGGTATCGCTGCTTAAGCTTGGTGAACTCCATCCTTTGAGGCCCAAGGGGCAGATCCCCGCGGCATCTGTTGGGGTGAGAAGTGCAATGAAGCCATGACAAAAAGCGTGAAAGGTGTTTGAGAACGAGGTATTGAAGTCGCAGATGAACTGAGAGGTGCTCGAATCTGAGGGAATAGGTTTTCACGTCTTCCACTCAATCGAACAGAGACAGCAAGCAAAACGACCATTCCCATCCATACAGACGCAGTATCGCCTACTACGACGATTTCCGAATTCAGACCCAGAAGTCGTAGGAAGAAACCCAAGCAAACCACGCGCTGTGGGGTTCAACCCCCAAACTCACTGCTGAACGCCATGGATATGAGGCCGCCACCGGAAGCGCACGGGATGCAGGATGTGAGCCATTGGGTATAGGTGCCCCACAAATTCGAAACATGTTCAACTACCACATTCGGTATGGAAGCAGGCGTCTTTGTTTTTGATTGTTTTTCGCAGGCAAAATTGAGGCTGTTGAGGACCGATCGCAGTTCTCAAGCGTGTGGGTTTGTGGCTCCGTAGTCCGTGAAAAAGACCCTCACCAGGCAGCAAGAAGACTTGTCACCGAGGGAACTGTTGAGCTCGAAGCTTCTTGGTTTGGATAGGGCGATGTTTCTCTACCAGGCACCTTCTCAGGACATACAGTGACATACTTCACAATATCTCCGATGGTTTTTTCTCATCAGTCCGATCACATGTCTGATTCATCTCTTGGGTGCCGTCCTCGAGTGGTGCACATGTGAGGCCGCCGCCACCGCCCCCTGGTGTGAGCTTAGTCCGGGCACTCAGAGGGCAGAACCTCCGGACCACGAGGCCACGCCGGACGACGGGAATTGGCCAATTTGGGTGACTTCCACGACGTCAGAGTGGAGATGGGACTGCCACAAGTACTAGTAGGGTTGACACTGGTTTAGGATAATATGTTAAATCCAACTTTCTTCTCAAGGTTTCAAGAAGTAGTGACCAACTTGCTACCAGTGCCTTTTTCCTGCATATTGACGGAAGATGGCACAGGTGGGGTGCCTGCTGGTTTGTAGATGTTTGGTAGAGTTTTCCCTTTCAAAGACTTGTTGGCAATCCTGGAGCACACTGCACACAATGTAGATTTGTGGCACTGGAACCAGTTTTCATGACATTTCGAGGAGCATTATATAGAGTGAACCATTGCCCAAGCAAACTCATTTTGCATTTTGGGGTTGGGGTAGGCTCTGAGGGTTTGACAAGAAGTAGACATAACATCAGTTTTGATTTGATGATTGATGATTGATGATTGTGAGTTGTGGATCGTGCTGCAGCCATCCACATGCAGCCAAAGGCACCGGCCGCCTTGGGCGGTTCTCCGTTGGGGGTGCTCAGTTCAGAAGTGATTGGCGTTGGGCCGTGGGTAAGCGAGAGGCTTGATGGAATGGGTAGAGCAGTTGGAACTGGTCCTTCCGGAAGTCTGAGCCTTGATGTTGAGATCCCGGACGGTTCCAAGACTCTTGGATGTTTGAGTAGCTTTGATGCGCTTGTTGGTGTTTTGGGAGGCCAACCCTCACCCTCGGTGTGATTCTCACCTCACGGTAGGAAATGATGTGAGTGAATGAATTGCTTGGTCCATACAAAGACCTTTGGCTTCACCGCAGCCGCGTAGGTTTACATCCATCGCTAGGCAGAGTCTCTCATCGTCGCTAGTGACCCTAGCAGCCTAGCATGTCTTCCTCCGGAGAGCTGATGGATGTGTATGCGAACGAAAACCATGCGGCATACATCAAAGCCGAGGTCTCTGGTTTAGTAAGCCAGCCAGCGAATGTTCAGGAAGTGTCAGCAGGGCTGACGTTTCAGAGTGAGATGCACAATTCAGGAGTTCAAGTGGACTCCGTGGATTGGTCCAACTCCTGTCAGCCGCAACCAATGCTTGCCGTTATGATGCCTATGGTTCCGGTTCGGATGTATATCATTGCAGCGACCTGGATGCAGTTGCATAAATGTCCACTGTGAATCACACTGTAGAATGGTCCTCGAGATTCGTACTTTCTAGCTTGCCAACATCATTCTCTCGAGTGGCCCCGTTCAACACCCCTTGTCAAATTAAGTGCCCTCTTGGCATTCTGTTGCCACTAACATGATTCTATGGACACCTAAAGCTCAAAACATCTCTATCACACCCTTCAACTTCAACTGTAAGGCGCCGTCACGTCCTCCGCCACCTCCTCCGCCGCCTGCTGGCATCTATGCTCCAAGCAAGTGGATTTACGACAACCAGGATCGTCTCCACTACTTGTATCCCGGAGACTATCCGATCGTCAAGAAGGGCGAGTGGATGTCCCTCAAGTTGCTTGCTCTGGATTTGATGGCCATTTTTGCTTGTGTCTCTTTGTTGAAGCTTGCAGGGTTGCTCCAGCGAATAGACAGAACTTGATAGCAAAGCACCAGGCACATGGAATTCCTGTCAAAAAAGTTGCTCACCTATTTATCACACTAGCAGTAGCAGTCCTTTTTTCCTCTTCACTATTGTTTTTGCCCTTGGGCTTTCTCTCGGACCCAGACTTCATCCAACAACAATATAAGCCCATACACCGGATATGTTTTTGACGTTGGACAGCGTCCCATTCTTATCAAGTTCATAGCGGTACTACGCTACAAATTCCAACCTCATCTTCCACTTGCCTGTCTCAGGTATGCCTTGATGCTGCCCAAGCAGGGACCGCTGTTTTGTGCAGAGTGTGCAAAGACAGGGGGAATTTGCTTGAAGGAGCAGAAACATGTGAATGTAAACCAGGAGTTGTGCCGGACATGCGAGAACCTCAACTTTGCCACAATGTCTTTTTCCTGCTTTGTGTTCTTTGGAGTGAACGAAAGAAAGAATAGGTCTAGTAAAGAGCCAACAAGGGCCCGGGCCCGCACGAAAAAACACAATTTCTGGGGTAGGAGCAAGAAGCTATTAGGGGCTCCTGGCATCGCTACTAGGAGAAAGCACGCGACTAGGGGCTCCTGGCCTTACTACTAGTAACAAGAAGCTATTAGAAACAAAAAATCATTAGAATTAGAATTTCTGTTGTCTTCGTTTGCCTCACCCGTCAAGCTCAGGCGACATCCATGTGGCTTCGGAGATCAGTGCACCCGGGCAAACCTTGCGTGCCGCTTCTGCCACGCTTATTCGACCGGGCAGTGCTTCCTTAATGTGAAGGACATCAAGAAGTACAAGCGCATGCTCTGAGAAGTACAAGGATCCATGAGCATTATGAGCGTGACGACCTGACCATACAGTTTGGACAAACTGGTTCGCTGGCTGGAGGCCTGGCTGAATGGAGGGTGGAGTCTCGTTGGTTTGAGATTGTAGGTCGAATTGTTGCAAATGACGTAATCGAACAGTTAAGTCGTATATATATATATATATTTATGTATAGAATATATATATATACTCTTTTTACAGGGCGCACTGGAATTAGGCTCCACCTGTAGCCGTGGGGTAATGCCTTTTTCTGTGGGTCATGCAGCTGCTGTTGCATTGAAATTGGAATGACACCCAGCAGGGATATGATCAGAGTGGCAGGATCCCACGTGTTTATATCTTCCACGTGCCAGGTCCGCCTGGTACTGATTTAACATATTATGTTTAGACCTGTCGTCACCAAGCACAGCAGGCAAGCGGCAAGTGCAGGAGTCCATTTGAATTGGAAAGTAAGAAACCTCTCAAGAAAGTGCAAAGTAAAGCTGAAGTGGATTCTTGAAAGAGCGGCAGGTTGATCACTACACTTTACGTAGTGAAGGATTGGAGACTTCGGCAAAAATGAAAGTGTCCTAGGCATTGCACTTATCCTCACACTTGTTTGCTTCTTGTAGCAACTGTTGTTCTGCTTGAAGGCATTGCCTCAGCAGGAAGCAAGGCCTTGAAAGTTTGGCCAGTAAATGATGTGCATCTTTAAAACAAAAACACTATATCTATATATATAATATAGACACACACACACACGTGCACACACGGTTCTGCTTTCCGTGATATGCGCACACACACACACACACACACACGCGCGCGTGATATCCTCGGAGAAGCCCATCTGGATTTGGTGGGCTTCATGATGAGTGGAGCATGGCCAAGACCTGTTGGAGGACAAGTTGTCTCCTACAAAAAGCCAAAGCCGTTTCTGCTCTTACTTGCAACACCAAGTCAATTCGGATGAGAAATCGTATCATCAAGTCCTCATCAACTCCTTTGATCCCAAGTCAACCTTTTCTTCTTGTTCTCTGGCGACTCCTGCCTGAGGCCTGGCATGCCCCCAGGCTTCCCTGCAAGGCCTCCAGGAATTCCGTCAGGCTCTTATGGCTCTTATGGTTGGTTTTGTATGTGGTTTAGTTGGTGGATGTTGCCCAATTCTTCTCTGACCAAAGTCGTTTGTGGAGGCTAAAGTCGTCCCGGATTTCTTTCAACAGTACGTAGCATGTGTAACAGGATGCCCCCCCTAGCCCCTGGGTTTGGTTGTTTTTTCTTGCCAGGCACTTGGCTGGGGTTTGTGTGGTGATGACTGTCATGCCGTCCAAGGGGCATGGTGCCTCCTGGAATGCCTGGAATGCCGCCCGGCATGCCTCTGCCAGGAATGCCAGGCCGTTGTGCCGGCTAGATTGGGCAGAATATGGACTTTGAGCAAACTGCAAAATGCATGCAAAATGCAACTCTAGAACGAGTTGCATGCAAAATGCAACTCTAGAACGAGTTCTCAGATGGTCGTTTCTCAGATGTTCGTTGCATTTCTTCTAACTTCTAGTACTTGTTGCTGCTTTTATCCACGAAGTAAAGACAGATGCTGCCAGGTGATGGGTTCACTGGGTGCAAAAATCAGGACCCAACCACCATTATGGACTTTGGGCTGTGTCATCGCTAGCCATTTGATCAGTCTTAAACCGGAAGCACATTAAACCACCGAAATCACAGGATTGTGCCGGTGCCTTCATGCTGTACTAAACTTGAAGAAAGAAATCCAGGACCACGTGCGATGCGTAAACCTATTGGAGGAGTAGTAATTATATAGATATCCTTTAGAATACGTGGTGCAAGGAGTTGCTCCTTGAACAGCATGGGAGGTCCATTTGCTTGGGTTTAACGTCCTCTCCTTGAGCCGTGTTGAACTTCTCTGAATCCGAAATAGACGTGCTCCGTAAGGAGACCCCCGCGCACATCGGATCACTTTGAAAGCCACAGTGAAAGCTAGAGGTTTTTCTCATGGTTTCGATCTCGCCGATTGCTGGTCTCGGTCCCTTGGGTTTGGAGCTTATTGGAGACATGGAGCCAAATGGCGCTCGGCAGGCATGGGACGTGGCATGCCGCCGATGGGACGCGGTGCATGAGCGGTGCAGTTCCGTGGATCCCAGAGAAACTTCACTTGGATGGAAGGCAGATGAGATACTGTATCATGCTGCAATTACTGTATTTAATATGGGAAAGTGCCATGGGCATCAAGAGCAGTGTTTGATGTTAATCTCCTTTTCTCTTAAGTGAAGGTGAACGAGCTACGCTTAAATACATCTTACGACCATTCACACGCACAGTGAGGCCAATACTCAGGAACGATGACAGGAGATAGACATGCGTTTGTAGTCTAGGCTTCCCTAGGAGACAACAGATGATCAGAGGGTTTCGACCCAGAGTGTGATCATAGAACTTCCTTATTTGTCCACAGTTTGGACCTGTGCCCCACCTGATTGAACCCCTTTGCACCTCCAAGCTGTTTTGACATGCTGATCACAAGCGGTTCTGCGAGGTGGCAGTAGTCAGTAGCGCCTTGAGGCGGCTTGACGAGAAAGGTATCAGCGAAGGAGAAAGAAAGCCGCAACAGACGTACCAGGAGCTGCAGTCCAGAGTAAATCGCACAACTCCTTAGACTAAGACCGCTTCAGATGGTACATCCATGCTTAGTATATATATATATATTATAACGATATAAGCTACCTCTGGCACATAACAAGATGCATGTTGATGACATTAGTTAAAACCCTGTTGGGACGCATCTTTGATACAGTACACCTCTCAAGGTTTGTCAGTGAAGTTGAGCATTGTACAGCACCGCTTTCCACCCTGCAATCATTCCTTTTCTTTCCACTTTGCAAGTGGGGTCCCCTTTGACCTTTGACGATTCTGGCCATTTGTCACCGCTGGGCACACCTCTCGTTTCTCTCAAAGTCTGAAACACTGCTGGGTGCAACGGAGTGCATATTCCTCATCGACAGATGTTTCATCATGTTTCATCTACCTAGAAACGTCCTTGCTCCTAGTAGCGATGCCAGGAGCCCCTAGTAGCTTCTTGCTCCTATATAGTAGTAAGGCTTAGTAAGGCCAGGCGATCCATTGCACACGTTGAACACCCAGGTTTGTTTGCGCGTGAGTATGTCACAAAAATGAGGAGAGCTCCCCACCCCAAGCTCTGCTTGGAACACGATCATAAACATATTGGATATGATTAAACGACACATGATTAAAGCTTGTATATGTATATATATATATATATTATCTATATGGAGATATGATTAAGGTTTCAGAAGCCTTTTGCAGACAGAAAGCCTGGAGGCAAGTGATGCACATCACTTGAGACCAAGTAGCATGTATGGCCCGGTATCGCTGCTTAAGCTTGGTGAACTCCATCCTTTGAGGCCCAAGGGGCAGATCCCCGCGGCATCTGTTGGGGTGAAAAGTGCAATGAAGCCATGACAAAAAGCGTGAAAGGTGTTCGAGAACGAGGTATTAAAGTCGCAGATGAACTGAGAGGTGCTAGAATCTGAGGGAATAGGTTTTCACGTCTTCCACTCAATCGAACAGAGACAGCAAGCAAAAACAACAATTCCTATACATACAGATACAGTACCGCCTACGAGATTTCCGAATTCAGACCCAGAAGTCGTAGGAAGAAACCCAAGCAGACCACGCGCTGTGGGGTTCAACCCCCAAACTCACTGTTGAACGCCATGGATATGAGGCCGCCACCGGAAGCGCACGGGATGCAGGATGTGAGCCATTGGGTATAGGTGCCCCACAAATTCGAAACATGTTCAACTACCACATTCGGTATGGAAGCAGGCGTCTTTGTTTTTGATTGTTTTTCGCAGGCAAAATTGAGGCTGTTGAGGACCTATTGCAGTTCTCAAGCGTGTGGGTTTGTGGCTCCGTAGCCCGTGAAAAAGACCCTCACCAGGCAGCAAGAAGACTTGTCACCGAGGGAACTGTTGAGCTCGAAGCTTCTTGGTTTGGATAGGGCGATGTTTCTCTACCAGGCACCTTCTCAGGACATACAGTGACATACTTCACAATATCTCCGATGGTTTTTCTCATCAGTCCGATCACATGTCTGATTCATCTCTTGGGTGCCGTCCTCGAGTGGTGCACATGTGAGGCCGCCGCCACCGCCCCCTGGTGTGAGCTTAGTCCGGGCACTCAGAGGGCAGAACCTCCGGACCACGAGGCCACGCGGGACGACGGGAATTGGCCAATTTGGGTGACTTCCATGACGTCAGAGTGGAGATGGGACTGCCACAAGTACTAGTAGGGTTGACACTGGTTTAGGATAATATGTTAAATCCAACTTTCTTCTCAAGGTTTCAAGAAGTAGTGACCAACTTGCTACCAGTGCCTTTTTCCTGCATATTGACGGAAGATGGCACAGGTGGGGTGCCTGCTGGTTTGTAGATGTTTGGTAGAGTTTTCCCTTTCAAAGACTTGTTGGCAATCCTGGAGCACACTGCACACAATGTAGATTTGTGGCACTGGAACCAGTTTTCATTATACATTTCGACGAGCATTATAAAGAGTGAACCATTGCCCAAGCAAACTCATTTTTGCATTTTGGGGTTGGGGCAGGCGCTAAGGGTTTGACAAGAAGTAGACATAACATCAGCAACGTAAGTCTTGGCAAGGTCTTCGGCCATCACCCAGCTATCAACCAGCAGGTCATTGGGGACATGTGCGACAAATGCTTTTTGCTTGCACAATTTCCACAACTCTTTGGAACATCCCACACCTTCTCCCTGAAAGGTTTGTGATCCGGCGCTTACTCTCTTTTGCACGTGTGGGTTGGGTAGGAGCATGTTTTTCTCAGAGTCATACTTCTCATCGAAGACCGCTGCACTTTCCCCAGCAAATCAGTCCCTTTTCCTGTCTTTGAAAACCGGGTCTCAACATATGGGAACCCGTGGATTTTTGGGTGTTCCAGCAGGTTCAGCTTGGGCTCACCCTCTTAGGTTCCATACCTTTTCTTGCCATCTATGGGACTCTCACTGTTGCTGGGCAACCGTGTAGCTGCGGAGCAACTCGCTGCTCAGTTTCAGGCGCAGCAAGCGCAACAGCTCCAGAGTGCCAAGTTCGGTGGTGCCTTCCCAGCGCCCAAGCTGCCCATCAACATGGGCGCACAAGGTGAGCGGAGCAACGACGGACGAGTCTTCTAACGAGCGGGAGTGGACATACAAGTCACTTTGGTCGTCCAATTTGGTCTTGATTCTTGATGAATTTGTGATGAGATGGTTGATGCCTTGCGGTCAAAGCACGGGTTTGAGAACGCATTTGCTGACCCCAAGCTCTTCAACGATGATCTCAACTGTTGGCTTCCAACTTCGCTTGGAGGTATATACAGTAGTGCAAATATTTGTAGATATTGGAATAGTGGTATAACACAGTAGATAGACCAAGACACTGTTGATAGAAATCCATCACCTTTGATTCTTTCTGCAAGGCCCGGGTGGCAGCTGGCCAAATATGCAAGGCAGGGTGGGGTGGTGATGGACCTGAACCAGATATGGATGTGTCTGAAAATGAAGGGATGCTTCAAACGACTGGATGTTCTTCATTCCTCATCCTAGCCGCCGATCCTATCTTGAGCCACGTGGTTCATGCACAAATGTTCTTAAGCCACGTGTATTCTATCAGTCCTTGCACAATGATTGAAAGAATCGGTTGAACAAAAAAGAGCAGACCTGGAAGGAGACATTAGCAGCTCCATGTGTCAAGTTTTGCTGGCCCATGAGCCACCCCATCTTCTCTTCGCTGGGCCCGGCTGCACATGCCAGGAGGGATCCAAGGCGGTATGACACAGCCGGGCATGTGGGGAAGCACAGATGGCCTCGGAAGGGCATGGAAAGCACGCGGTTCGCGCGGCGACGCAACGAGCGCAGTCTTCGGACAAAAGGCTCAGCTGCAAAAGCATCTCTTTCCTTCGAGCGTGGTGCCATTGACTGTAGCTGTAGGGGGTCCTTTGCCTTGATCACTTTGAACAGTCCAGGCTCATGAGGAGAAGACCAACGGATTGACATCGGACACAGAATACCATGCCAGACATTGCAAGTGGAGACTTAAAAGAAATTGATTTGGTGTTCAACAAGCTAACCAATCTCAGCACATTTTGGAGGGGTCAGGTGTGGTTTGTCACGTGTGTGATGTGAGGTCTAATGGCTTGCAGCCAAGCGTGGGCATGAAAGGCGGCCGGGCACTCAGCTTCAAAAGCCGCAGAGGTGGAGGTCTTGGATTGGTCTCTTGGACATCCACAAAGTTGTTCATGTTATTTGATGCTATTTGTGTTTGCTTTACAGGGGGTTGCCGTGCTCAAGCTTTCAGCAACGTCAAGCTCTGGTGATTCCTTTCTTGCATTGAAGTGCAACAGATGTAGACAGATGTCATCAGATGTCGGATCTCACTCCCAACCACTGAAAGGTGAGAGTGTTGAGAGTCATGGTCCTTTGCAACCGTCGATTTTTGTCTTCTCCGTCACATGAAGATGTGGTCTGCAACATGACCAGTGGGTGACACATCTTCAGTCGGCCGACCCTTGGACAGACTGATTGGACTCTGCCGTTCACGAGGTGCTGGTGGCATGCGGCCGAACTGGACCAGCATGCCGTAGCTCGGCGTTTGTAGCTCACGGAGTTTGTAACTAACGCATCACCTGAGTATTGATGTGGATTGAGTCTGCGCGACCTCGAATTACGCGATTCCACGGGCAAAACATTTCGGTCACACTCGAAAGTGCGGTCCCATTCGTTTTTGGATTCTCAGAGATGGACCGCTTGGCCTTTAGAATCTAGCGTCACCCATGTTGTGTCAGATCACGTTGGATGAGGAGGCCGGAACTTTATTTCAGCATCAACCATTTCCCCACTGTATTTTGCTAGGCTGCTTCAGCTTTCGGGTAGATGTTCGGCGAGAGATTCGTATATAGTGAAGGAGTTGTCCATTTAAGGCAAGGACTGTGTTTAATATCGTTTGGAAACGATCCATTATCGGACTGCTTTCAGTTTTCAACCAGGTCAAACAAGACCAACTGCGTTAAGAAACAATACTGTAGATATTCGTAGTCCTGTGCACGTAAGAAGGGATAGTCCTAGATTTGGGTCTTGTGCTAGATATGCAGATGGGTGTTAGGACTGATGGGCCATGTTGAAACCCGGCGTCCCTCAATCTGCTTCCGTCGCACGCTTTGGTCAAATTGCTGGGCCCAGGACCCCAAAAGGAAGGAAAGGGGTCTTTTCCAAAGGGACACTTGGACGCTCTGTGAAGGCAAGAACCCGTCTTTATTTGTAGACCAGACGATTCATAGTCCCTGCAAAACCATGCAAAGTCGGCAAGATTCCAGAAGGTTGCCTGCAGTTCTTCGGTGGGTCATGCAAGGTTGACAAACAAATCCCAAAACATCCTTGGCAGACACGTCCATGACTTCGCTGTGCAACGATGCCGGCACGTGTTTTCTAGACCTTCAAAAAGGGGGAAGGCTTTTGCCGTTTTCATTTGCCCAACATGTGTGGCTTTCCACTCATTGGGCTGGTGGAGAAACGGTCACGGTTCTGTGAGGCAGTACGGCCAAAACCTGCTTGGGATCCAAAGGGCGCTTGGGCCGCTCGGGGGCGGTAGAGTTGTTTAGTTTCGTGTTTTACTGGGTATCTTTTTGGTATAGTTGCTTTGCACCAACGTTATATGTTTTGTTGAGATACCTAGATACTAGATTCATACCCACCCACTCAGTGGATAACCTTTAACCCTTTTTGAGGAATGGTTTCCCCACCTAATATGAGTTGGTGGATGAAGGCTGACCTTTTTTCCTGGGAAACTGAGGGAGTCAGGATACTTGTTCTGGCCTCCACTCGGTGCTCAAAACAGCACCACCTGACTATCCGATGACTATCCTTTGGTGGGTCAGAGGGTGAAACAAAAGATGACTCGTTCAAGAGGTTGTTGCCATCAAACCCTTCAACACCAGTGTGCCTGAGTCACCTGAGCGTTTCCGTGCAGCGACACTTGACAATGTGCAAAGCTGTGATGGGCCTCGAGGTCGATAATTAAGCTTCATCTAGCTTCATCGAGCCTCCTACATCTCCTCACAGTAACTTGGTTTCCGGCTCCTCCCCTTGCCCCAGATTGAAAACGGGCCCAGGCCCATGCTGGAACTTCTTCTCCTTGACGATAATTCTGTTTTAGGTTTCCACCGTTTCCCGGAGTTCGCCAAGAACAAGAACAAGCTGGGGAAAGAGAGAAGGTCATTCATGGTCATTGATGGTTCATGTGGGACCACAGCCACGAGCAGCCACCAGGCCTCATCTTTTCACCACCAAATCAATCGGTTTTTGCAACCACTGAGGCCACCGGGTCAAACACAAGGCGGGGCACAGTCATTTCCGCAGTGCCTCGGTGGAGTCAGTCTGTTTCCGGGAGCGGATCTGGGTGGTGTGCGCAGGGAGAGAATCGGAGGGGCTCCGGCTTTTCAATGAAATTGTCCAAATTGGGTTGGACTGGGACCCAAACTCCCGCTTAGTTGGTTGGACAGCAGTGTGCGCTATGCGATATCACGGAGCGCTTTTGTTTGCAGAAGGTGAGGAGACCTGGTCGGGTGACACTGTCCGAGATGTCCTCCGGCACTAGTGCAGAAACCCTCTTTCATGCTAACCAGTGCAGTGAGTATAGGTCCGGGAAAAGAATGCTTGGTGTCTGAACCGGATGACATCTAGGGCGAAGCAAGCGGACTTGCTCATCAGTCCTGGGTGTTAGTTGGCTATTGCTCGAATCACTTGGTTTCTTTTCTGCTGAGTTGGCGAGGAATGATCATCATGGTATCCCGGCGTAACTTTTGCCTGCCGCCCTCGAACTCTTCGACGAAGCCGGGCGGAGAGGAGCGCCTTGGTTCGCCGAGGCAATACGGCGTGCGGGGCGGCAATTCCACCTTGCAGAGATCGAGACTTTGGCCTGATGAGATCCGTTGGTCGGTGGACACGGGGAGGCTCCGAGGGTTTTGCTCCGTTTTGCAACAGCACACTTATGTATGTGACCCCACACTCCAAAGGTGGCATATTGTGCATAGAATAGTGGACGCTGGTTTCGGGAAGAACAACACGTTCTAGGACTTGGCCCCCGCCCGGCCACCATTCAGAAAACCACCATAGACTACATGACTGTGCCCCTTCGCCTGCACTGCCTCTCGAGGAACAGCTATGGTAATGGAGGCCCCGAGCACGCTGTGGGTTCGATGTGATGACGAGAAAGGTCAGAATGGAGGAAACAGGAAGCAGAACACATGATGATTGACCAAGCAGAACTGCCTCCTTCACCTTCCTCACCTTCCTTCGACCCCTTGTGTAGGGTGGGACCAGACAATCTGGCTTGGGGGAAGCTAACAGCTGCATTACGAACCTTAATACAAGGTGCTTCTTGGGGTTTGAAATGGATTTTTCTGAACCCAGGCAAACTTTCAAGTTCAATACCTTCTATTATTATCTCCTGCCCAGGTTGGTTAATGAATGTGGATGGTGGGCGCACTTGACGCAGAGAGCAAAGAACTCTCCAGATGAATGACATTCATTTTGCAGACCATATACTTTTTGAGCGTACTCCAGCCAAGTGCAGGTTGACTAGATTCTAGTGGGGTACAGAAGTTCATGATGCAAGGTAGCAACTTGCTAGATATCAAGCGACTATCCATTACGCTCCATCTTCAACTCCATTTCGCTCCCCCAATTTGCAGGCAGTGGTCCGCAGGCGCAGGGCTGGACTCGAGTTTTGGATGGGTTTGGTGGGGTGAAATGCTGGGCCAAACGGTTGATTTTGCTCTGCCCAAGCATAGAGGACTTCTTGATAATTCTTGAGATGACGTCATGCACTGCTGCTGCGGCTGCTTTCGGTGGAGTGGTGTGTTTTCGGATGTGCTGAAACTTCGCAGCTGTGGTCCTTCGGAACTCAGACGTACAGGTCGAGAAAGCTCAGATCTCTTAAGACTGAATTGTGCGGTGTGGGTCGACTACTGGACCCACAGTTTTAAACAAACAATTCTGCAGTACTGGTCCCAAGACAGATCAACAGAGCGGGTTCAACGCAAAAGGCGACATGAGGGAATTTCAGTTCAGCGCCTTCACCCAACTCACCGGTCTTAGTCCTTCCAGGTTCAGGTTCCTTCTGTCTGCCATGGCGTTTGGCGATGCCAGAGCTCCAGCTAGTCTTGGTGCTTCTAGGGATTTCAGGAACCGTGACAGAGATACCATCAGCATGTTGGCCAACACGCGCAGAAGTGTTGAGAGCCAAATGTTGTAGTAATGCCACTAGCGCAGTGAGCAAACACTTGCCTTGCTTCACCGGCCTTTACACCTATGAGAATCTCGGCCGCGTGCTGACAGCAGTTCCACAAAAAGGTTTTCTGTTTTGTTTTTTTTTTGGTTGGAGGAGTTAGAGGTGTACCGTCATCTCTAAGTGCGACCGTGGCGGAATTGAGGGTGGCCCCCCTGACGGAAAGGACATGAATTTAAGTTCCCATGTTGCTGAGAGGGCGGTTGAAGCCAGGCAGATCTTGAATCAACGGACCACCGTGATCCTCAAGTACTCTTGGGACAAAGATCAAGATGAATCAAAATCCCTAGACACATCTAGACACCGTGCCGGACAATTCCGAGTCGGTCGTACGGCAGCCCAGGACTTGCTGTTTGGGATTACCCATTCCCTTTGCCTCCTGGCCTTTTCGCTCAGCGACTCGAGCAGACAGATTGCAGCTGGCAGTCCATGAAGATAGATGCCGGAGGTTTTGTACAATTGTGGGCCACCCATTGGGCATAGTTGACCTGTATACGTGCACCCACGGGTGTTTGTTAAACAACTACAGATGGGCGAGCTCGTTTTGCCCTCAGCAGTTCGTTTTGCATCGTTTTAGACTAATCTCGTCCCACCTGTCCCAGGGGGCACACCATGGGGCACACCAGGGGGCACGCCGGGTGCCCCGCTCTGAGGTGATGCTGGGCTTCCCTGGCTGTGGCACGACCTCAGCGTCCAAAGTGTTGGCGAGCCATCCCAATCTCAGCATGGTGAGTCGAGACCCGAAGGGTCACAGCCACTTGGCATGGGCCGGGGCTGGTTGCCGGTGGCCCAGAAAACTGTGCTGACCGGCCCAGAAACTGGATGCTGAGCATTGTTTTGATATCTATTTTGTATCTAAATCGATAGCATTTGGTGGACATTCCTTGAATGTTGACAATTCTGTTGGTTGCTTGGTCATTTGGGCATCAAGGGCACAGCCGCACAGCTTCAAACAAATCGATTAATCTCAGCCGTTTGAACTGCCTGTGAGCCTCACCTATCCCAACACAAATGCACCGGGAAACGATGATCAGCCACCGCATCCCCACCTGGATCTGTGAGTTCATAACGTGCTGTTTGCCTTCTGGGGATGGTTGGGTATGGATTGGTGTGTATATGTAGCTGAACAGACTAAGATAGCACGTCACGATCCGTGAGTATTTTTTAGAACAGTAGCATGTGTGTTTTCTCCAAAAAGAGCCTGTGGGCATGTCGAGCTGAGCTGCATAAGGATGGAATCGCCATGAGATGCAAGCCTTGAACTCCCTGATCTGGAGTAACTCTTATGATGCCGTCCTCAAGTTTGGGCGCACCATTGCTAGACGCTTAGATAGGTAGTTTGGTTGCTGAGCCAGTTGCTGCAGCTTTTCTTCTTTGTGATGTTTGGCCTTACCTTTATAGAAGAATCTTTGGGTGTTGCCGTGGCCAGTCCAAGGAGAGCTCCGGTTTGCTCGACATTTATACATGTCCGATCCGACAATTCTGCTCAATCTTGACAAAGCCGTAAGCATCACCTACATACGCAAAGCGAAGTTCGTGGTGCCTTGGAAGATTGCACTCTCCTTTGGAGCGCATTTTCCGCTTGAAAAAGACGGTCCATCCTGAGAAGTGGGTTGTTAGGTGATGGTTGACCAAGTAATGCCGCGTGTTTTGCTGGTTCTGACTCTTTTCCATCACCCAACACCGTCTCATTTGCAAGTGGGACGCCCGGGAACCAAAAGCCCACACAAAGGGTGTCCTCTTGAGCTATAGATTGGGGTGATATCATGCATCACCTTCAGTTACTAAGTAGCTTCTTGTTACTAGTAGCAAATTTACTTACTATAATTAGTGATGCCCTTGTACTAGTAGCGATGCCCTTTGCTACTAGTAGCTTCTTGTTACGCATTGATTTCCGCATCTTTTCCAGGTCATGGTGAGAGATCCTGCTCACTGGCTGGCCTCTCGTGTGTGCCGGGTGGCATGCACGCAGGAGCGCAAGCACTTAGGCCTCTGCTTGGATGAGGTGACCAGGGCACCACTGGACAGGCGGGCGTAAGGGATTGGAGCAGATACCGCTGATGTTCTCTTTTTGTCCCTCCGATGCTGCTTTTTCTCTTGGTCAACACATAGACATCAGAATTCACGTGGAACTGAGATCCTGTCCCCATCAAACAGTCTCAGTATATCTCAGTATTATATAATTAACTATGTACTGTAAGATGCAGTATTGAAGTGACCGAGGAATGCTCAGACCTATGTAAGCTTGAGTGGGCTGGAATGGTGCTCTTTACTAAACTTGGCTCCCAAGCAGACATGACAACAATACCACAAAAGATGGACATAGTTATATAATATTATAGAATATATGATATATATATATAATCCTGCTGTTCACAAATGGATTTACCGGAGATTCGATAGAGGCACCTGCTCAAGTTCAAGACCCAACCACAAGCAAACGTTGTTTGGGGTCGATGCTGATCTCTTTATCTCAATCCTTCTGCGGGTTGTGTGGGTTTCTATTTGAACAGAGGACCAGACAGCCCTATAAACATGCCGGTGTGCCATTTTACATTGTTCCCAGCCAGATGAACCAATCTCTACACTCGTCAGGGCCCTTCAGCCCAAGAGCCCTTCGCCTGTTTGGCCTTGGCCAGGTGGATTGACCAATGCAATGTGCCGAACTACCTCCAAACTTGGGAGCCTTGCACCGACTTCCCGTCCATGTCCCCCTACATGTCGATTCACCTGAAGCACTTGTACACCCTGATTTTGAAAGATGCAAGGCACCCTGTCAATGTCCTAATTCTAATAGCTTCTTGTTACGACTAGTAAGGCACTTAGTAAGGCTTGCTGGTTTTGAGTTTTGAGATGTGCTTTCCAAGCGTCTTGTTGACACAACTCCACGCTGGGTTTCCGGCGTCGGGTTTGGGAAGTGTTGCGTTGAGGCAACTGGCTGCTTTCAGTCTTGAAGCTCTTCAAGAAGATCCCAAACACACACTGGAGGCACTGGAACGGTTTCTGGGGCTGGAGCCTCGACAGCTGGCGTCCTTTCCACGGGAGAATGCACGCTTTGGCACGCATACGTGCCAAGCAGAAACTCCGAAGTGGATTAGAACATGCGGGCGTGGGTCAAAACAATCTTGGCCCTAAGGCCAATGCCAATTGACATCCTGGATTTGACCCACACCCCTGTTTTGTCACTTGCAAATGTTTGTTTTTTGCTGTCAAAAAGCACCACATCCTTGTTATTCAAGTCAAATGGCAGCAGTTCTGCAATTTATGTTGCCAACGTTGGGTTTGCCCCAATTGTCACTTGAAGCCGAGGCTTTGGTGCCAGGGACAGCTCAGTTGAAACACATATTAATATAGTCCAAATGCAATCCGTTGCAAAGGTGTGAGATACCTTCTCCATGAAAACTCTTGCAGTAGTACAGCAAGTGCTCAGCTCCTTTTTCATACTGAACGCCACACTCTCTGGAACCAGCACCCTCCACCAGTTCCTGCATTGTAGTTTCATACCCTCCGCCGGGCATTCGACAAGGAGATGCTGAAGGATTCACGGATTTATGACTTCTTCTACCAGGAGAGAAGACATGGGTACTGGGTGCCGTAACTTTGATAAAGTATCACCGATGCTGACATGAGAAGAACCTGGAAGGGGAAGATGCTAGTGACTCCTTGTTGGCTTTATGTTTTGTCGAGTCAGGGGACCTTCGGTTTTTCTGTGTGGTTTTCTGAGGACCCGGTCTTCGCATTACGTGACGAATCGGGACAGTGTATTGGCAAAAGTTAAAAGCTTTTCAGACTTTACCGTAGTCAATTGAATATGTTTGTGCTGAGACTGGCCATGAAACTACACAGGCGTTTGATAGAGATAAACCACTGGACACATGGAACCCTCTCTTCTTGCAGCCCTCCCAGGATGGATCTAGACGAATCTGGCCCAAAGAAAAGAATAATCTTGACAATCTAGCTCTTGACTGCCCAGAAAGCAAGACCAAACAACCCACAGTTGCTCTGTCGCACGCGCCGTGTTGGCCAGGAGCGTCGCCGCCTCGCTGGTCTACTGAAGCGCTTGTCCCCCGCACGAACGCGGATCCCCCGTGCCTGGCGAGGCCACCTGCGCAACCGCACGGGGCGGTCTATGACCTCGGAAGCGCTGAGGTCGAAAAGGAGGAACGCCCGATGTGGAGTGGAGCTGGATAGCTGGGTCCTGGTCCTATCTGCAGGTTGTTGATTTAATGTAACAGATTTCCTGCTTCAGTGGCAACTGATGTGAATCCCTTGTTTCAATGGTGTTCTCACGGTGAGCTGATCAATTCAGCCTAATATGAGGTAAACTTCTCAACCCCCTTCCACAATACTACTGTAGTGCTTTCTACAAGGCTGGGGGCCAGGTTACAGCTGCCAAATCAAGCAAGAAGGCTTTCAAACACACCATCCAATATGCCACATACTACAAACAAGAACCCTGCGTCCAAGATCTTCTAGGTCCTGAGGACTACTCCTCCCAACCCCAAACAAGAAGGCTTTCTTAGCTCCTTCTTGCAGCGAAAAGCCCGCAGGTGGTGCTCCCACCGCCCGGCGGACCCGGCGCGCTGCCGCCGCCGGGGGCTCCGCTGGCTCCGCCTGGGCCTCCGAACACCCCGGCGCCTCCTGCGCCTGCGCCTGCGCCGCAGCCACCGCTGCAGTATGGGCAGTTTGGCTTACCCAGCAGGGAATCCTAGAGATGCTGCGGGAACTTGGGGAATGAACGAATCACGAAAGAAGAAAACGACTTAGGGAATGAAGACATACTGTATCACATGTTTATCAGTTTCTTTGGGATGTCGACAATGTCGAGGTCACAGGGATTTGATCCTCTAGATGTCAATAGGGTCTCGATGGCGACGAAACAGCGCAGTGGGGTGTGTTCTGGCAGGGTTTGAAAAGAAACAGGTGCGCTTGTTACCCTCGTAAAGGGACATAAATGAAGACAAATGTTTGCTTCAATGATGAGCCCAACGACCAACTGGTAAAGGAATGCCCATCGAACGTAGTCATCTGGAATCTGAAGTGGGCAACCTTTCAAGACTGTGCCTTCATTACCCTTCAAGGGTTTGTTTCAGTTGTTTCCCCGATCTCTTGGTCTATAGGTGTCACATTGGTGTCGGTGTCCGGGGCGCATTTCGCCCGAAACAGCGGCGCGTCGCATCGATGCCGAGGCCGAAACAGCCATCAGCACCTTGGCAGGTTGACCTGGAGGTTCTAAACATAGCAAGTAGGGAACTTGGGCCTTGGCTTCATAGAGCAGAGAGCCTAAGGGCCTAGCGGGTTTTCGTAGTGTATTGGAACTGGGACCTATGGAAGCTAGACAAGTCAACAAAGTCAACTTCACGGTTGTGTTGCTTGTTCGGTATGTTGTTGGATGTTCAACCAAACACCACAGGATACACACGGACACACATGCATCCCCATGCTTCTGCATATCTGGATTGTTTGTCTCTGCAAGTATGGATTCAACGTCTACTTCCCAGCAGACACATCCTGCAGTGTCGCAACTAGCAACTGAGGCGTGGCGCAGCGCCTCCGCCCCCACCACCGCATCCTAACTGGAAGCCGGGGCAGCCACCGCCGCCACCAGGCAGGGTCTTAGAACACATGGCATGACACCGTGGACTCCTGGAAAACAGAGGAGTTCTTTCAACAAAAGCAGAATCACATCAAAGCTTTTTACTTTTGCATCGTGGTCATGTGGACCTGGGTTTGCCAAGAACAGTTTGGATTTGAGCCAAGAGTTCTGAGATGTTCTGAGGGCTCACTGTTCAGCGGCCCTTTGCCAGAACCCATCTCTGGAGGTCCAGGGCCACCTGTGCAAAAGCCTGGAGGAACTCTGGAGGCCAGTTCAAAGGATCTGCCGTGTTCGGTCGCAAGTTTATTCAACCTGCTATAGCGGGAAGAACGGCAGGATTGTGTTTCGTTCGGGCAGGAGACCCTTCCGACCTCTGTCATGTTTAGACACTATATTAATCAGAACTACAATTGATATACTCTTGTGGTTCCGCTTTCTTGAGAAACCTCCATCCAGAGTGAGTGAACTTGCTCTTGCTGTTGGCGAGTTCTTTTGCGTCCCGAAGAATCCAACTTTGACCCGGGTTTGAAGAAGAATGAGTGTATACCGTATGGTCATTCATTCTTTTTTTTTGCCCGCGGGTTGGTTCCTAGATGTTCCTAGATTTTTAGGAACACTTAATGATTTTAGCGTCTGCTCATGGTCCACTCCACTGTCTTTTCCTTCCTCCTCTCCATCTCATGGAAAGCTTCTGTGAAAAGCATTCTGAATTTCTCTGCTTGCTTGATTGCGTGCTGCTTTGGAAGCAGAGGAGTTATCTCCCGACACTAGATTCCTGGATTCAACTAGGTATCAATTGAATTTACACAATGATGAAGAATCATCGGGTCTTCCAGCGTTTGTGACAACGTACAGAGTCTAGACTCGGAACCCACATTCAGTTGATTCAGTTGCTTCTGTGAACTAAGCCGGTGGTGTCGCTGAGAGGCTGCTATGCAGGCCGCTGCCATGTTGGGCGCAGCCGGGGGCCCTGGCCCCGGCGGCCCTGGCGCTGGCTTTGCGTGTTCGGTCGTGTCAGCAAGAGTGACGATAGCAACCTCTTACTATGGCTGCCATGGCCCAAGAAAGCAAAGACATTTCCATGCCAGGCTGAAAACACAACCGTTTGGGTCCTTTTCGTATGCTACAGGTGGTTGACGTAGCATGACCCTTCGACCTTTTTGGAGGTACTTGTCATTGTTGCCTTTATCAGTATAATCAGCATGTGTCCAAAGACGGAGGTCAAGATCATCATGGCGGCAAGCTTGTGGCTACCCGCGGCTGCAAGCACTTATTAAATCCCTACCCGGTACCATTTTTTGGGGAGACCTAAAAACATGTACAGTAACTTACAATTTTCGAGGGACCCCGTACATGATCATAAATGTAGGTTGACCCCCCTCGTTTTTGGCCATGGTCCCCCCCGGATTTTTGCTGTGTGTTGCTTGTGTGTTCCTGGGAATTTACCAGGAAATGAGGAGGTGGCTGGCATGTGTTAACATGCAATTTCAGGGAAGGGGCTGGATTGGGGTTTAGTGGCTGTACAAAAGGATGCAAAAGGTGCATGATTGAGTTTTCTTGGGCCCTGCTATTGTATTTCTATGGTTTCTCGGACACCTAAACCAAAGCAACTTACATCATATTGTACGTGGGGAGCTGTTGGCTGGGGATTGGGAAAGGCAGGGGTACCCTAACCCTGCCTTGCTTGGGCCTTCCTAGCTTACAGCAGCTTGCTTGCATAATAGAAGGTAAATTCTTCAGTTCCCATAGCTTGTTCTATTGTATTCTATGGTTTTCTGGTGGCCTAACTCAAGGCAGCTTACATTTTCCCGTCCTTGAGGGTGATCTGAAACAAATGTAAGTTACATTTTGTTAGGCTCTTGGAAAAAGGTAGCCTACTTCTTTTAACGCTTACCTGGAAACATGTCAGCTTACACTTTTTAGGTTCACTTTCCATGCCCCTCTGCGAGATATTGTAACTTACACTTTTTGGTCCACCCCCTTCACAAGTAGGGATCTTGTAAACTCCTCCCTATGCCCTATGCTTTCTCCAATTCCAGTTTTTCTTCAGGCTGCACCTGGAATGCTGGAGGCCTTTTCACTTGATTGCTGTGTGAAACAGATCGGAACTTCCGTCATCTCCACTACGTGCAGATGGAAGTTTGGCATCTGCGCTTGAACATGGTGGGTCGAAGCGCAACCTGTTCCAAGCACTCGGTCCCGAAACGATCGGAGATGGTGGTATTGTTTGACCTGGGGCGACCTGAGTATGTCCAAGAGTCCAAGATAGTGCGACCTTCCAAGAGCGCACATATAGTCAGTTGTGATGTTTTTGGAGGAAAGCCTCCGGTAGATTTGCATCGTTTCTGAATCTCGGGTGGCTGATTGTTTCAAGCCACACTGCAAGATGCGCAGGCAACCTCGGCTATTGACTTCTCCAGCAAACTCGAGGACAGTGGATCCACTGAAGAAAAGAGTCGAAGAATCGAAGAGAGCCTGCCTATTCATCAAGATACACTTATGGCGGACATGATTTTGGGACAACCCGTGTATGAATACTGAATACTGTACTTAAAATACCATCGTCCTGCTTTGTATTGCCGGATTTCCTGATTTGTGGTACTAGGACTTGCGGCGAAAGCACCCTCAGGCAGCATCTGGATGGAACTTTGAGATGGTTTGCAAAAGACATCTTCAAGCCATCAAGTTTCGCCGTTTCGCCATTTGAAAGGTCAGTTTATAGTGACGGCCAAATAGATAGAAACTTTTTTGGCAGGGTCCTTTTTACGCTTTTTTTGGCGTGCTTTTTTTGGAAAATGTGCTAAAAAATTCTATCTTTGGTATCCCTGCATTTTTTCCAGCAAACGCTAGTTTTTCCTTTCTGTGCTTTGCTTTATGCTTTCGTTTTGTCCTTAAATGCTGGTGTTGTCCTTTCTGTGCTCTCTGCATTTTTGCTTTATGCTCTCGTTTTGTCCTTAAAAGCTAGTTTCTGCTAGTTTAATCTATATAAATCTAGCTATCCTTTCACTTTGTCTTATCGTTTTGGGTTTTTCTGTCATGTGTACCCAAAAGGTTAGCTGCTGATGCCATGTAAAATGTTCATTGGCATGTCTAGATGTGCGTTTCTATCTTTGGTATCTATGCATAAAACCCTGTCAAAACGTAGTTTTCCTTTCAGCATTTCTTGGAATGTGTATGACTTTCACTGCAAAAACTGGAGGGAAACCAAACATTGACAAACAAACAATTATGATGTGCGCGTTTCCATCTTTGGGGTAGCATGGAAAAAACACATAGGATTAAACAATATCGAGTTGATTCCGGTGTATTCTCCCAGGGTTTTCTCTTAAAACAAACATAAAGTCCTTTCCCATTACCCTGGTGAATCCGTTTTAAACAACATATTTTAATACAATATAGCATGTTTCAAGTGATTTTCTGCTGAAAATGTGCTAACAGCCTTGAAGAAGTCAATTGCTAAAGCCGTTTAGCACATTTTCAGCAGAAAATCACTCGAAACATGATATATTGTGCTTAAAAAGATATGTTTGAAAGGGATTCAGCAGGGTAGTGGGAAAGGACGTGATGTTTTTTAAGGAGAAACCCTGGAAAAAACACCAGATTCTACTTGATGTTGTCTAATCCTATGTGTTGTTCCATGCGACCCCAAAGATGGAAACGCAAACACACTGAAACATACTGATTTTGTTTCCATCTTTGGTTTCTCTCCAGTTTTTGCAGTGAAATACTAAAGATGGAAACTTGACCGCCATTCCCAAAAAAAAAGCGTCAAAAAAGCGTCTGATTTTTGGCGAAATTGAGTTTCTATCTATTTGGCCGTCACTATAGTCAAGCCTGTCCGGAACAAGTTGGAACTTTGCCACAAGTAGGTGGATGTAGGTGGCCTTTCAAAAGAATAACAGTAGAAAAGATAGTTTTTCCACTTGACAGCTCTAGAGTAGCATGTGATGGGAACCCATGGCCATGGCCCTTCAGATTGACAATGAAGGGAAGATGTGGCCAGATGGAAAAAAACCTCCACATTGATGCTTTGAAGGAAAGTTGGGGACGCATGGGGATGCTGGATGCATCGATACAAGATGACAGCAGCACACCTTACGCAACAGTTGATTGCCCAGTACGCGCTGTGAGAATTGATGTTAGATTGAAACTTTACCTATACGTCTCGGTGTGAAAGAACGACCGTGGAACAGCACACAGCACAATTGACCTGTTTCTGAGACCTCATCGACTTGGCTTGGACAACCCACAGCCAGTAACAAGGACGCTACTAGGGGGTCCTGGCATTGCTACGAGGAGCAATGTTTGCTACTAGGGGCTCCTGGCCCTACTACTTGGAGCAAGGACGCTACTAGGGGATCCTGGCCTTACTACTAGGAGCAAGGACGCTACTAGGGGCTCCTGGCCTTACTACTAGGAGCAAGGACGCTAGGGGCTCCTGGCCTTACTACTAGGAGCAAGGACGCTACTAGGGGCGCCTGGCATCGCTACGAGGAGCAATGTTTGCTACTAGGGGATCCTGGCCCTACTACTAGGAGCAAGGACGCTACTGGGGGCTCCTGGCCCTACTACTAGGAGCAAGGACGCTACTAGGGGCTCCTGGCCTTACTACTAGGAGCAAGGATGCTACTAGGGGCTCCTGGCCATACTACTAGGAGCAAGGACGCTAGGGGCTCCTGGCCATACTACTAGGAGCAAGGACGCTACTAGGGGCTCCTGGCATCGCTACGAGGAGCAATGTTTGCTACTAGGGGCTCCTGGCATCGCTACGAGGGCTACTAGGGGCTCCTGGCCCTACTACTAGGAGCAAGGACGCTACTAGGGGCTCCTGGCCATACTACTAGGAGCAAGGACGCTAGGGGCTCCTGGCCTTACTACTAGGAGCAAGGACGCTACTAGGGGCTCCTGGCCATACTACGAGGAGCAATGTTTAGGGGCTCCTGGCCCTACTACTTGGAGCAAGGACGCTACTAGGGGCTCCTGGCCATACTACTAGGAGCAAGGACGCTACTACGCGCTCCTGGCCCTACTACTAGGAGCAAGGACGCTACTAGGGGCTCCTGGCCATACTACGAGGAGCAATGTTTGCTACTACTAGGAGCAAGGACGCTACGAGGGGTTCCTGGCCCTACTACTAGGAGCAAGGACGCTACTAGGGGCTCCTGGCCTTACTACTAGGAGCAAGGACGCTAGGGGCTCCTGGCCTGCTACTAGGAGCAAGGACGCTACTAGGGGCTCCAATTCCAGGTGAAAGTGCCCTCAGATGTCCGGGGACCCAACACGCGAGGTGGGGGCCATGGTTTGGAAGGCGGATGAGTCAACGCGGGAGTCAACACTTCAGCTTTTCCCCGTCTTCCTCCCCAAAGTGAGGGTCAAAGCAAGTCAAAATACCACTTGTTCCTACAGCAGACCATAGCCGACATGTCAACAGATGTTGTTCCTACATGTTCCTACAACTCGCAACCATCACAACTACATTGTCCACAAAAACAATCACCAATGCTTTTGGAGTCGACGAGCGAGGCCTGGACATGGAAGCCAGAGGAGCTGGAAGCCTGGTTCGCCAGTGGCGGCACCACCAAGGCTGCCTGCCTTGGCCCGTGGGGGGTGGGTGGGCGGATGGGGGGAGAGGCTCAAGATGTGCGCGATGCTGTGGCCCACTTACAACCAACCTAATAGCAGCGATGGCCTCCAACCTACTAGCAATGGCCTCCAACCTACAAGCAATGGCCTCCAACCTAGAAGCAATGGCCTCCAACCTAATAGCGATGGCCTCCCAAAGAATTGCATGATATTGCATGAAGGTTTCAGGTACAGTTCACTGTCAGGTATCTTTTGCAGGTTGCACTCGCTTGTCTTTTGCACTTCTGCTGTGATCTGATTGCTTTGCCGGGTCAACTCTTCACCATCAAATCCAAGGACTGCTTGACTGATTGAACTAGTACTTTCATTTCCCTCTCATTGATTTGTCATTGCTGCATCTCCCAACACTTTGATACACTTTGTGTGCTTACGAAGGGATTGTCAAGAGCATTCAGACTGGTTGTGGATCCTCATCAGGGGTGCAGGGCTTTGACCAACAGCCACATTTTGGTTGTTGCTTGAGAGAACAGGTGAGGATGTATAGTCAAGAAGGGCGGTCATCCAAAAGATCACCGCAGGTTCTGTCAGTTTCCGCGGACCTTTGTGGATTCTGTTCTCGAAGTAGTTCCACCAGCACACACAAAGTGAGGCTGGATGTTTGAACCTGGTGGTACTGTTTCATGCGTGTCCAACAAAGCAACCCAAAATGACTCGACTCCGTGGGTGTTCTTCGATCAATTTGTCGATATCCACTTCTGTGACCGCTGTGAACAGGTGGGATCCAAGGACGCTACTAGGAGCAAAGGGCATCGCTACTAGGAGCAATGACGCTGCTAGGGGCTCCTGGCCTTACTACTAGGAACAAGGACGCTACTAGGGCGCTACTGTGGCATTCACCATTCTAATCCTTCTGGGACTGCTGTGAACAGGTGGGTGCCCAAGTGAAGGAGCAGCCCAAGGAAACCGCGAAGGAACCGCCCAAAGAGCCGCAGACCCCGCGGAAGCGGAGCCACGGCGAGGCTGGGACGTTGAGGGATGTTCGATGCTCCCAACTTAATAGCAATGGCCTCCAACCTAGTAGCAATGGCCTCCAACGTAATGGCGAGGGCCTCCAACCTAGAAGCAATTCCCTCCAATCCAATAGCAACTCCACCCCAAGAGCGATGGCCTCCAACCTAATAGCGACGGCCTTCAACCTATTAGCAATGGCCTCCACCCCAGTAGCGAGGCCTCCAACCTAGAAGCAATGAGAGGGCTCTGGGGATTTGCTTTGCAAGTGTTTGCAGTCCGAAAGGAGCTCCTAGTACACATTAGGCACTCACAAGCTCTGTGTGTGTGTGTGTCTAGCCCATTGATATTATTTGCATGTCTGAAGCCATAGGACAAATATCTGACATATCATGAGTGTATTTATCTTGCCCTTATAACTATAACTATGAAGAAAGTGACTTTCGCACAGACATCATCTTCTTCATGGTTCCCGGCCCCACGCAGATCCTTTTGAAACTAGGCTCACCATGGAAGTGCAGTCTACACCATGCACAGTCTCCAATTTTTGCCAGGCTTTTGGTTTCGACATCCAAGAAACCCTCCAACTTCAGCCTGACCCCTAGGAACAATGTGGGAAGGGCTACAGGGTTGGAGGCCATCGCTACTAGGGTGGAGGTCATCGCTATTGGGTTGGAGGCCATTGCTAGTAGGTTGAATGCCACCGCTAGTAGGTTGGACCAGGCGGTTCGAGCGAGACTTGGTACCTGTGGATGAATGTTACCGTGGATGGGGCAGTACCTGTACCTATATAACATACCAAAAGGATCCAAAAGGACACTTCCAATCTTGTGCGGCAAAGAGAGCATCCACGTGATTCCATGATGAGATTCCGTGAGTACCCTCAAGGTCCAGGTTCCAGGATAGTCCAATAGTCCAGGAGTTGGTCCATCAGAATGAGTCCAGCGGTGGCGCTGAGACGAAGAAATGGGCATAGAGGCATGTTGATGTGCAATTCAAACATATACAAAGTGTATTCTTGTGCAAACCAAGCCAAAACGATGGTTTCGTGGTGCGACAAAAAGTGACAATTTGTTGCTTGAGTCCCTCCTTGAATCACAAGGCTCTGGAGTCAGGCTTTTTATGTCATAGGTGAATGTTCATTCATCCCAGTAAATTTGGATGGTCACCTCTTTTGGAGCAGCAGCTTGCACGGCAGCTTGCAGCCTCTCCCGAGGCAGCAACTCTTGACCAGCTTTTCAGAGACAGACTTCCAGGAGATGACGGTGATTGATCAAACATCGGGTTTTTGCGCATGTGGCATGGGGGCGCGCACACACCTTAGCAGCCTTAGCCTTCGTTTGAGGCCAACGGTGTGAACATTTTCACCGGTTCCGCGGCCGGATGCCGCCTTTGGGTTTTTGTTCGGCCAGGAGAACTTAAAGCAACTCCAAGCACAACATCCCGAGCGCAAGACCAAGGGCCATTATGATAGTGCGGCCTACTTGGAGGCCGGGCCGGGCAAGGTTCCTTGGGGGCGGGTGAAGCACCGCAGGCACCCCGTGCGAGTTCTTCTCGCATGGTTCACCTCGAGGCGCTGCCGCTCGTCACCAGCGGTGTGCGGAAAAGATCCCAGTTCTCGGCTGCGCTCGCAGCTCCGTGCTGTCAGGTCGGCCATCTGGGCCGTCCACAGACGTTCCCAGGGAATGATGAGCGCAGAGGACGTTTCAGAGATCGGCCAGGCGAAGGCTAAGGTTAAGACGGTTGAGGCAGTTGAGCAGTGAGAATTCTTAGGAACATGAAATGCTTAACGACCTGATGCATGGGCCATTTGGGCCATACTATGCCATACTCCTTCATGTCGACCTTGTTCGACCTTGTTTCTGGGACTTGCCTCGCGTGACGGCTCCACCCCCTGTGGAGCACCGAACCTCGGTGGGAGCAATGAGGTTTGGCGGCAATCGAGAACTTCGAGGTCCGCAAGGAGCTATTATTAGGCGAAGTCTACCCACGGACCTAGAGCAAGTCTCCTTTTTCTTGCCCATGGCAACCAGTTGATTCTGCGGTGGTGTCAGGGCTTTATGGCCGAAACTAGTGTCCGCGTCTAACAAGCCCGGACCAAGTGTTTTTGTTTTTGTTCTGTTTATCTTACGTTCATGTGAGAACATTCTACTTGGCAACCTTCGATCTACGACTGTAACCATGTTGTGAAAGATGCCGAAGGACCAAAGTGATACAGGTTGGCGGACCCAAACTTCTCAAAAGCTTTTAGCTGAACATGCAACTTCGCAGCTAGTCCCCAACACTCAGGGTTTTGGAGATGTCAATGCATCAGTGAAAGGGAAAAATATGACATCCCTTTAGAGCCCTGGAATGCGGATGCAGTGCTCAGTGCAACGCAGGCCTCAGATGACGTCCACGAAATATTTGCCATCAAGCGGTGTCTGCCATTCCAGCCAAGCTTCCAGACAGTGTGTCAAAGAATCAGTTAGCTTCAAGAACCCTCAATTTGGGTGGATGAGCTGGGTGTGCCAAAAGATGTTACGTAACCGCTGTTTGTTCGTCCTGCGATTTCAATGCTAGACTGCCAGACCTGGCTTGTTTTCGTGTGCGAGAACATAGATACAGTACTTTCAGTTTCAAGGTGGGTTTCAGTACTTTCCCGAACTGAGCAGAGTGTCCAGATATTTCCAGATGTTTCAGTGTTTAACAGCTTGTTGCTATTGTTTTCCGCACTCATGGGGCGCACCCTATTGCTTGCTTGGCCTGTCGTTCATCAATTCAGGGCAAACACTTTGCCGTTGCAGGTTCTCAATATGCGATTGTCTTGCAACTTGGCGCAACCAGTTGCTACCCAAGGAAACCTGCTGGGTTTCGAGACTGGTTGCGGCCTACCTGAGCTCAAAAACTCCATTCTTGTTCAACTAGTGGAGGACATTGCTGAGGCCCTAGAGTCTAGTTCTCTAGCTTTCACGCCAGTCAAGTATTAATAATTGCAGTTGCCATACCTCTCGATCACTCCTATTGAGGCCACACTGTAAATTCATATTACGTATATCAAGAAAGATGCAACTTTTCCTGTGTGATCTGTGTGGCACTTGTCAAGCTTCTGTAGGGTTTTGTATTCAATGCCCCCGAATCCCAAGTGAGGGATCATGAGTCATACCACCGCATTGGAAGTTTGACTTCGATTGATCCTGCCTTCTGACTTCGCATGGGGTGCCCCCTGCGTCATTTCGCTGGATCGCACACGATGCCCTTGGGCTACCTGGTTGCGACCAGGGCATTGGCGAAGCCACCTGAGACCGGAGACCTGGGGCAGCCACTTGGAGGGCCGCCAGCTCTGAACTCCCATGTTCGGTGGCGACCCTGGTGATGGTTGGTGGTGACCTTGTCATCTCCCAACAAGACCATGAATGAACGCACAAATCTCTGGGGATATGAGGCACTCCAGCAACTGAACGGATCACATTAAACACTGCTGTAGCTTCCACTCAAGTAGACAGTACCAGCATGTGTGCAGTGCGGATGCCATTGGGGATTGGCCTCAGGGTGTTCAGTAGCAAAGCGTGAGGGTCTAAAAATCTACTAGTCCTTTGCCGGTTAGCTTCGGGTCTATAGTATAGTCTATAGGAACCAGATCCTTATCTCCTAATCCTGATGGGAGCATTGTTGCACACTGTACAGGAAACACCTACAACATCCTACAACCAATAGATCCCAAACCACAGGCGCAAATCGACACAAGCAACAGATACCTGCAAATATCTACAGATGAACAGATGCATTCTGGTACTCTTGCGTAACGCTTCTCCATAATTAGTCCTGCTTAAACTCATGCTTCGATCTCTCCTTGTTGAGCGTCCTGGACCGCACCCGGTCGCAGGCCTTCAACGCTTTGGCCTTCACGGTCTACGCCAAGGCCCGGGAAGTGAGGACAAACAGGTTGGGAAGCGAAGAGCATGGGGAGTCTAAGATGCACCGGGACCGTCCCCAAACAGATCCATTCAATATGGAGAAGCTCAAGTGAATTAAAAGTTCTCCTGCAGATGTTCCATGCTTCATGGCAAGTTGATAGATCTCCCTGCAAAAGTTCACAAGACGGTACGTCACGATACGTTACGTGCATTTTCAATGTGTTGATCTAGACTGATGTCTCTCAAACGGTCAGATCTCTGCTTCCTTCAGGTGCTTCCGGACTGGAAGTTAGCGGCCACCTGGGATGGCGTGCGAGAAATGCTCAGCAAAACGCACGAGGCACAGGCACATCCCAAGGTGCGCCAGTTGGCCGGTTGAGGACGGAGTCCAGTTTTTGCACGGATACGTGTTAAGGCTGGATTGAATGGAGAACTTAAGGTCTAGTGGCAGGTTTCTTGTTCTAAGTCCAGTGGATGGGTGAGTTTCCCGGTTACGCTTTGAGAGCAAGCTGCCGCTGCCATGTAGGAATGGCAAGATCCCCTTGCAGTGCTGCCGTTGTGGATGTGGGACATGCCGGCACTTTCTATTGGTCTGAGCAGGTGGATGAGGTGGATTTGCCTTGATACATATCTCACAGAATTGACTTTACTAAAGTTTGCATGCACACGTTTACATGCAGGTGAGAAAGGTGCAGGAAGAGATCAATGTCATTATGGGTCTGCTCGGGTGCCTATGTTGAGAGAAAGAGCAATGCGGAGGGCAATCTATGCCTCGAGTGCTGGAGGGCAGAAAGAACAGACACAGGGTTGTGGATGGGGAGGTTGTACCGTTCCTGGAATCACAAATGTCGACTTCCAGATTGTGAAAGCACTTGGGTCAACTCTTTTTGTGGCAAAACGTCCTCACCCGTGTCTCGATTACTCCCGCAACTGAATTATAATAGTGAATTACAATTTACCACTGTATGACTGTATGCTTCTTTGGATGCGGTTTTATTTTGAGGATGTTTCAATGCTGCAACAAATCCAGTAGCCATATCTCAGAGGTGAAATTGTCGGAAGACTGAAACATATTGAGACATGCCCATGTTGGAAGACCTCTCCACACCAGGTAAATGTAAATCCCCCCTTTTACTCCGTCCTGCTAGTTGTAGTTAGTCGTTTAGCTGTCCATTCTAATCGTATAGCTTACTGCACTGCTGACAGGGTACCCTTCTAGGGCCCACTTTCCTGAAAGAAGAAACAAGGAAAGAGCCTTGGCACCACAAAAGGTAGCCAGTCTATCTTTCAGATCCTTCAACGAATCAGGTACGAACCTGTGTCTGATACCTCCCTTTCATGCCAGCCGAGGCCACGGAACGTTTGCTTCACCCCGTGTCTCGGCGGGTGACATCTGGGAGGTCGGTGAAGCACGAAGACGCGATGGTCCGAAGAGGTGGAGCTTTAGTTAATTTATCTTTAATTTAATTCTAATAGCTTCTTGTTACTAATAGTAAGGCACTTGTTACTAGTAGCGATGCACTTGTTACTAGAAGCGATGACGTTTGGGGATGTTTGGGGATGTTTGGGGAGTACGTTCAGTCTTGGTAGACGCGGATCATTTGCGGGACTGTGGCCCGAGAAGGAGAAAGGACATATGACAATGGTACTGACAACCAATGTTTGCTCCAAAATTCACATGCATCAGAACCAAAATAAAGCTGAAGGCTGTCTGAGGCAGGGAAGGGAAACGCAAGCAGCTTGCTGAGCTAGCCCATAGCCTCAGCAAGTGTATCTTCTTTTGACTTGGTCCCAAAGGGAGTAGTTTCACTAACCTCTGTGTGTTTTCCTCAAAGGCGTGGTCCAAAGAGGGTTCAACATGCGAATCCTAACGGGGGGAACGCAAGGGCCTTGAATGTGGAGCAAATTTGTGGTTTAGATGGAACTCAACTGCGGAGATGGATGAAGAGCCATATAAAGACACCCTACACATCCCTACACCATTTGTGCTCAGCAGCAATTTCAGCGACCCGCAGATCGGTCCAAAAAGCTGCTCTCCGAGGCCCTCCAAGAACTCAGAGTTCTTGTTGATCTTCAGGTCCCATCGACGAACACACGCCGTCGGTGGGTTCGGGGGAATGATTTGAACACACGACCGTGCTGGGCCGTGGCTGGAATGTTTCTTCCTTTATTGCTTAAATTGTTTCTAATAGCGATGGCCTCCATCCTATCAGCGATGGCCTCCAACCTACTAGCGGTGATGTGAGGAGACCATATATGGCGATGGTCAAAGGGGTCCGGACTTTGGTCGAGATGGAACTCTGGATTTGCCTGGCACGTGTGCTTGGAAAACAAAGAGTGACTGGATAGGGGTGTGTTCTGTGTGTTCGAGAGGGGAGATCAGTTTGGACATGTTATTGTTAGGAACATTTCTCTGCGGTTGAATAACGCAACACCATGGAAGTTCTTTCAGACTGGAAGATAGAGTTCAAACTTCAAAAATGCCCCATCCTCTTATTGTTCTCTTTTGCCGGAAAACAATCCAGGGGTAAATTGTGGCATTCCGAGAGTGTGTGTTAGTCATTTCCAACTTATTTTCCCCACCTGCCAGGTGAGGGTTGTTAGATTTTATCACAGTTGTTCTTCCTCCTCCTCCTCCTCCTCCTCCTTCCTTCCTCCTTCCTCCTTGCTTCCTTCCTCGCCAATCTTCATCGCCAATCTGC